TGTTAAACTTGGAGATTTTTGTCTTACTTCTGCATCAACTTTGAACACGTCAGTCAAAGGGAATTTTTGACATCATTTGGTGACCCCGACGTGATGGTGCAGGAGCAAGACAGAGATGAGCTCAGATATAGAGACTGGATTTGTGGGCCTGGAAAAAATCTCTACTCTTCAAAAAAGTCGCTTCTAAAGAGGTAAGCAGATCATAGTTTTGAAAATCTGCACATTGTTTTAAATAGAAGAGAGAGAGATTTTGGCTCGACAGATTGCAGCGTGGACAGACCGCCGTGACGGGCGTTCTATCGGACGCGATAGGACAATAGTCAGGTTTTTCGACGTTTTTGAACCTTGAGGGATGTTGGTCTCCCTCTAAAAAAGAATATACGGGAAGAGAAAGTCCACAGAGTTTAGAGTGCAAAAGAGGCACACCGTTTTGAAGTGCAAAAGAGGCACACCGTTTTAAAGTGCAGAGAGGCACAAGTGTATAGTGAAAAAATAGGAATAGAATTAGAGAAATAGGGACAGCTTTAGGGTCAGAAGTTATAGGATAATAAAACCTCCATATCCCCCGGGGGGCGGGAAAAAGGGTACATTTAAACAGAAAAAAGCCAAGTATTTAAAATGTGGATTCTGTATATTGACTAATAATAATCTGATTAATGAGGAAAAAAAGGAGCCACTTGGCTGTAAATACGAGTTTCCATGTGGAGAAATGACCAGAATGATCAGTTATGGAAGTTTTTCTCTTATTCTGATGTAATGTTTCAATGGTTACAGAGGTATTACGAAAAAAGATCCGGCTGTACCTAGTGATGCATTAGTCATGTAAGCAAATTGTAATGTTTTCCATTACTGACGTATTTAAATAAATGTAAAGTGTCGTTTGACGTGAGAAAAACTTTTACCACTGATTAAAACCTTGTCACAAAAAAACGAGGAAAATGTAGCAAACAGGAGGATTTATTTTAGACGTCCATGTTTTCCTTTGTTCGAGAGGCCACTCAGCCCCCTCCCCTCCCTCTTTCTGTCTCTCTCTCTCTTTCTCTCTCTCTCTCGTGAAGACAGAACTATTACCAAATATATTTTTTTGTAGAAAATTACATTTATACACACGATAATGTTACTGACATGGAGTCATATGATCACAGAACTTTGAGTTAGATTATAAAGAGGCATTATTTTATTTTTATCTCCAAGGCGTCTGGACAAGTTTTTTTCCTACATTTTGGTGATATAAAAGTTAGAATGACCTTAGAGAGCATTATACTGTTGGGAAAAATAGGGCTTAGGATAGCAGTTGAATGCAGAATTCGGTTTTCAGAATCTAATGTTTAAAATGTTAATATTAATTATTTCATAGGTTTATTTTGATTTGTAATTAATCATTGGTTTTGTATGGTATTAACACACTTGTTTGTGTTTCTTGTTTGTCTGTTTTTTTCTGAGAAAACTTCTGTCTGTTTCATTTGGCCAAAAACGCCTGCCACAAGACCTCAATCGAGCGCCATCAACACGGACCATCAGCGTCTCCCCCAGACCCACAGGGGGCACCAAAGACAGCAGCATCGGCTGCAGCAGCTAACAGGAACTCTCGAAGAAGACTTCTCAGGCCTCCATTCCATGGAGAGGAACCACAGACTTTTGCACAAACCGAGTGGAGTTATGTGCACGGAGAGGAACGGTGTGAACCGAGCGAAAGACACGACACACTTGTGTGCGTCAGATCTGAGTAAAAGAAGAAAAGATTGAAAGAAGAAGAAAGAGATTAAAAGAAAAAGAAAGGCATTATGAGAAAAAGTTATCGGAAGAAGAAAGAAAGTGATTGAAAGAAGAAGAAAAAAGGCATTGAGACAAAGACATTGGACACTTTGAGACAAAGACATTGGACACTATGAGACAAAAGACATTGAAAGACGCCATGAGTAAAAGAAAGAGACATTAACGGACATTTGAGGAAGACGCGGCTGGCCTAAATGAAACAGACAGAAGGTAATATATACAGACAGACAAACAACGCACCGAGACATGTGAAAAACCTGGGCGTAATTTTTGACTCTGAGCTGACTTTTATTCCTCACATTAAGAATATAACAAAAATAGGTTTTTATCATTTGAAGAACATCGCCAGAGTCCGCCCCATTCTCTCTCGGGCCAACACGGAGACGCTGATGCATGCTTTTATCACCAGTCGCATTGACTACTGTAATGCCCTGCTCTCTGGTCTTCCCAAAAAGAACATTTCAGGTTTACAATTACTTCAAAACTCGGCCGCACGTGTCCTGACTAAGACCAGGGGGCGGGACCACATTACACCGGTTTTAAAATCGCTGCATTGGCTCCCCGTGTGTTTCAGGATTGATTTTAAGGTTCTTTTAATGGTTTTCAAATGTCTTAATGGTCTTGGGCCTTCTTATCTTTCAGAACTGCTTTTATCCTATGAACCCTCCCGGCCCCTGCGCTCCTCCGGCAGCAGACTCCTAACCATCCCCAAAGTCAGGACACACACTCACGGCGAGGCATCTTTCCAGCACTACGGCCCCCGTCTCTGGAACAGTCTGCCGGAGGAGCTCAGGGTCGCAGAGAACGTTCATATTTTTAAAGCCAGGCTCAAGACACACCTTTTTAGATTAGCTTTTGATTAGTATTTATTAGTCCATTTTTATATATTCTATTTATCTTTTATTATTTATTATATTGCTATTGCTTTTATTCATGTTTTGTGTGATAGTTCCTCTCAGGCTCACATTTTAGTGTTTTACTTATTGTATTGTTTTTAAGTATCCCCAGTGTTTCCTCTGGAGGAGCCTTCTGCGCTGGGAGCAGTGGTCGGTGTGGCTGTGGGGGTCGGACTCTTGGACCTGGTGGGGGCCCGGGGCCTCGGTTTTGGGTCTCCTCTGGGTCCTGTGTCGTCCCCTTTGGCTATGGGCGGCTCTCTGCTCCTGGCGCTGACGGCTCCTTGGATGGCGTTTCTTCAGCCGGTTGCATCTGAACCCTGCCAAGTCTCTTATCGTCGTTTTATTGTTTTATCGGTGCGTGTGTGTGTGCGCGTGTGTGTGTGTGTGTGTGTGTGTGTGGGGGGGGGGGGGGGGGTGTTTGCTTGTGGTCTGGGGAGGGTCTGTTGGGCGGTCGGGGGGAGGGCATGGGCAGGATTGTTTTTTAGCCAAACTGTAAAGCACTTTGTGTTGCATCTGTTGTATGAAAAAGCGCTTTATAAATAAACTTTGATTGATTGATTGATTGAATCATATTAGTAACAGACAACTGTAAAATGAAGCAAAATAATATATACATTTGGTTATATCAAAATAATTAAAAGAGAAAACGGTGGCTTGCAAAAGTATTCATTTAGTTTTACAAATGAAAGCCCTTTCTTCTGCAAGACACGTGGGGCAAGATCTACAAGCTTTACACCTCGAGAGACTGGAACTTTTACCTATTCCTCTTTACAAAACAACTCCAGCTGTGTCAAATTAAATTGGGAGCATTTGCGAACAGCATTTTTCAGGTCTTTCCACTGATTTTCACTTAGATTTAGATTTGAACTATTGACATATTCCCTGTCCCTGCTGTAGAAAAGCAGGCCCACAGCATGATACTCCCCCCCCACCACCACCACCATCATATTTTACACTGGCAACAAGGGACTGAAGGTGATGAGCAGAGCTAGTTTTTACTACATATAATTGTTGTGTTTCTGGTTGTAATCATGAAATAAAGGGTAAAATGTATTGTATATTTTTGCCATTGCATGTTTTTTGACTCTAGCCTGTATTTCGGCACCTGCCTGGTCAAGATCTGTGACTAAAAGGCTAATAAGAAAACGGTGTGTCTCTGCCTTGGAAACCTCAAATCAATAGCGGGAGCAGGAGACAGTGGGGTGGCACCATCTGCACATGTCTTTTGTATTCTAGGCGGCTTCGCTCCGAGAGGCCGATGTGAGCTGTGTCCAAATGAAAAACCTTTGGGGAATCTCTACACGGAGAGATCAGGGCGTTTAGACATGATCGAGTCCGTGGATCTACTGAGAGAATGAGTTAAAGGATAGTTAAAATTCATTGTTGGTTTTCATTTTGGCCTTAGCTAGTGGCCTGAGTTAGATCATGAGATTGTTTGCTTTGGTAGTTCATGATTTAGGATGTACAATCATGAGAAATGTGTGGGTAAAACTCTGCCTTTGGTTCAAAAGGCAGAAAACAACTCTAGACACAACATAACTGCCAGAAGTTGCTGATATTAGCGTGGATGAAGCTAACGGTGATAGATATGGACTGATGTCATATGTACGATTTTATAAAGCTGCAGTGGTCGCTATGGTTTTATTGAGTCTTTTGTGATTGTCATAAGATTATATTCTGAGAGTATGGCCTTGTGTAGACCTTTTTCGGACCTGACCTGCTTTAGACCTGGTTTATACCTGACTTAGATGAATGGGGAAAATGAATGTGTTGGTCTGTGTGGTCCCCTCCGACAGAGAGCAATGAGGTCTGTGATAAGACAGGACTCGTGCGACCTCCAGTGGCCAAAGTGTGAAATTACAACAACATCAATCAGATTTGTGTGTGCACATTTTCCCCAACCCTCTTTTGATGGCTTGAATATTGCAATTTTGCCAAGAGAGAGAGAGACCAGAGACCATAGAAAGACCAGAGACAGACCAGAGAGAGACCAAAGACCAGAGAGAGACTAGAGAAAGACCAGAGAAAGACCAGAGAGAGACAAGAGAGATTAGATGAGGGATCTCTGGGAACACCAGGTGCCACAGTGGGGCAGCTGTAAAGTTCCTTATTGTCTAGAATGAGATGAGGTCGGTGATGATGGGAGGGGCTGATGGCACATACTGGTTGCCTCACTTCTGTCAGTGTGCCTCAGGGCAGCTGTGGCTTCAGTGGTAGTTTATCACCACCGTGTTTGGTGTGAATGAATAATGACATGTGAAGCGTCTTTTAGTGTCCAAAAAAGTATCCTAATATGTGCAAATTGAATCAATTGGACGCATCAGTTCAATGTGTATGGAATGGTTTCAGTGCATTAACCATCACGTACATGTTTGTCTTGCAGCTCTCCTGTCGTCGTGGTGCGAGGAGCTGGGCCGACTTCTGCTGCTGCGACACCAGAAGAACCGCCAGAACGAACCCCAGAAAGGACCCCCCATGCAGCCCCCCATGAACTCCATGAAGCCGGGCCTGTCCCACGGGTGAGAGCTCCGATCCACAAGTGCACTAAAGGACGTTTGGGTCAGCAACATATGAAAATTATTTGTGTTAATGCCATCATTGGGAAAGCGCAAGGTCTGGGGGCTTCATCTGTAGCACTCACCGGTGGGCTAGCGGTTATTTGGCGCTATGACTGCCAGGGTTCGATTCCCAGCCATGGAACAAGTGTTTGAACGATTTCAATTTGGATGCAGCCTCCATCTCCATAGAATTTGCAATATTGAGGCTGTTAAGTTTTTGTGTTGTTTTTTTTTTTCCTTAAGCCAGAGTTTGTGATCCATTTTGTTAAAAAAATAATCAACATTCAACATAAACGTATGCAATCGCTCAGCTAACAATCTCAAACTCCAATTATTATTGATGTGAAGTTGTACACTTGTATGTAAAAATTCAATTCAAAAAAATATGTTGAGATACTTTGAGGTACACTTTCACCCGCCCTAAGCAAATGTGCGCGTGTGTGTGTGTGTGTGTTGTTTTGACACTGCTCTCTCTCTCTCTCCTCAGTGATGGACAGTTCCCGTACGACTCTGGGCCGTGGCAGCAGAACAGTTCTCAGCCTCCCGGAGCTCTGTCTGTGGTGACGACTGTGTGGGGCGTCACCAATACCTCACAAAGCCAGGTAAGACTAATCTACAGAGGACTGGAGACAGGAGAGGGAATGGATAGAACAAAGCACAAGGTCATTGAGGTGTAGAAGTGGGTTTTCTCCAAATGGTGTAAGCAGTGGAGTAACTTACTGTCAAAACCTTTGCCAATGTGATGATATCAATTTAATGAGTTCCTCTTAAAAAAGTTTGGTTCTATAGTTATCATTCATGAATTTATTTGTGTATTCAGTATCCTATAATCATCTTTCACAATGCTTTGATCCATAAAAGTAAGTTTTAGTCATTCTCTCTCGTTCGTGTCTGGTCTCTCTCTCTCTGGTCTCTCTCCCTGGCTTCTCTCCCTGGCCTCTCTCTCTGGTCTCTCTTTTTTCATTTTTCTGTCTGAAAAAGCTGATCTCATTAAGCTCATTAACAAGCTCTTGTGCCTTTGTCTGCTCAGGTGCTGGCGAACCATCTGGCGCACGCTCCCACTATGCCCCCTGGATCACCCATGGTATCTGGGAACAGTCCTGGTATGAACTCGCCGCCGTTCTCTGGACCTCAGCAGCAGTTCAACAAGGGCCAGGGTCCAGGCTACATGCAGCAGGGCGTGTATGGACGACCACACTACAACACAGGAGGGGGATTCAACGGGAGGTGAGTATCAGGAGCAGTTATTTTGACGGGTCCTATTCAAACCAATGGAACTCTTTTCTATAAATTTGATTATGCAATTCTATTTGTTATGTATTTTTTTATAGCCCTAACAACAGTAGTTATAAGTAGTTACAGAGCTCTGACTGCAGACGCTGCTCCCTCTTCACCACAACAAAAGAGAGGAAATAGAAACAGTGACCAAAGAGACATCAGAGAAATTCAAGTGGACCACTTGTAGCTCATGACCACATATCCACGTTCTCTCCTTCTCTCGCAGTTATCCCGGTGGTCCTGCCCCTGGCCCCCCCACCCTGGGGCACCCTCAGCCTGCCGCCGCCGCCGCTGCTGCCGCTGTTGCCGCCGCTGCTGCCACGGCTACCGCCACCGCTACTGCAACAGTGGCGGCGCTACAGGAGACGCAGAACAAGGAGATGAGCCATCAGTACGGACCGGTGTGTGCTCCAGATGTTTTACATTCAGTAATTTGTCTAAAATCTTCACTTTCAATTTTAAGATAAGATAAGATTCGGCCAACAGTGGGGAAATTTCGTTGTTGCAGCGCACATACTGTACAGGACAGTAGCAAGAGCACACAGGGATCATATAATATATACAAAATTAGCAGTAGCTATGTTTCTTAACTAGCATAACTGGCTGTAGATGCTGAAAATGCTTCAATACCAGTCAACAAATATATACATGTAGTAGTGCAGTTATATACTGTACAGTTAAATAGTGCAGGATAATAAGTTAACCAAGTTAAAAACGGTGCTGTTTAGCTGTGCATACAACTGAGGGATTTTATATTTTTATCTTTCGTTTTAATGTTCTGTGATTATTTATGATTTTAATGCTATCTTGTTCAGCACTTTGAGTTGCCTTGTGTATGAATTGTGCTATACAAATAAACTTGCCTTGCCTTGCCTTGCCTTAAGTAGATGAGGTAAAGTGACATAAGGTAAAGCTGGGTCTATGTCACTCATTACTCCTCCTCTAAACACTTTTAGCTTTTTCAGAGACCAGAGAGATAGGGCAGAGAAACTAGAGAGAAACTAGAGAGAGACCATAGAGAGACCATAGAGAGACCATAGAGAGACCAGAGAGAGAGACCAGAGAGAGAGACCAGAGAGAGAGACCAGAGAGAGAGACCAGAGAGAGAGACCAAGGGACGGACCAGAGTGAGGCCAGATGGATGGGCCAACTTAGTATCTCTGGTTGTCTGCCTTAGCACATCTAAATAAAACAACATAAACATTTATAGAAAATAGAAATCTCAGACTTCTTTTTGTGTCTCTAGATGAGCTCGTCGTTCCAGATGGGTCCAAACCAGGGCTACGGTCCTCAGTTCATGCCTCAGGGACCTCCTCGAGGCCCCAGCCCTCACCCTGGGAACATGCAGGGCCCTGGGATGAACCCTCCTCCTCCCATGGCCATGAACCAGCCCCGGGGCCAGAGCATGGGGCCCTACGGAGGACAGAGGATGCAGACCTACAGCGCCCCCCGGCCTCCGAACATGGGGATGCAGGGAATGAAGAGGCCCTATCCTGGAGAGGTGATCCTTCTCTCTGGTCTCTTTCTGGTCTCTCTCTGATCTGTCTCTGGTCTCTCTCTGGTCTTTCTCTGGTCTCTCTCTGGTCACTCTCTGGTCGCTCTCTGGTCTCTCTCTAGAATCTCTCTCTGATCTCTTTCGGGCCAAAGTTGCATGAGGAATTGAAGAATGTGTTTTTTTCCTGTTAAATCCTCAGCCAAACTATGGCAGTCAGCAGTACGGACCCAACGGACAGTTCCCAAACCAGCAGAACCAGTACACCTCCTCCAGACCCATGCCCTCTCCAAACTACCCCCCACAGAGGAACCCAGGCCAGGCCATGCAGGGACAGTACCCCCCTCCCAACCCAGCCATGGGCCAATACTACAAGGTATGTATATCTGAAGCATGCAACTGGAGTCAGGACTGGGTGCTCTCAGAATTATTTCATTGCCAGTGAGAGAGAAACCGGAAAGAGCCCAGAGAGAGACCAGAGAGAGAGATCATAAAGAGACCAGAGAGAGAGAGAGAAAGGCCAGAGAGGGAGAGACTAGAGAGACTGGAGAGAGATGGACAAGAGAGAGAACAGAGAGAATGAGAGATGAGAAAGAGACTGGAGAGAGAGACCAGAGAGATAGACCAGAGATAGACCAGAAAGAGACCAGAGAGAGATCAGAGATAGACCAGAGAGAACGACTAGAGAGAAACCAGAGAGGGAGAGACGAGAGAGAGAGAGACCAGAGAGAGAGATCAGAAAGAGACTAGAGAGAGATAGACCAGAGAGAGAACAGAGAGAATAAGAGATGAGAGAGAGACTTGAGAGAGAGACCAGAGAGAGATCAGAGAGAGACCAGAGAGAGACCAGAGAGAGACCAGAGAGAGACCAGAGAGAGACCAGAGAGAGACCAGAGAGAGACCAGAGAGAGACCAGAGAGAGACCAGCGAGAGGGACAGAGAGAGACCAGAGAGAGCCAAGCCTGGGTGCGTCCGGGATCAGAATAATTTTGGAAGTCACAAACTTGGAATGGACAAGACTAAGTTTTATATTATTTTTTCTTTTACAGCAAGAGCCACCGTTCAATGGCCAAACAACAACCTTCTCTGGGAACGGTTATAACCAGTTCCCTCAGGGCAACAACATGAATGGAGTAAGTTCACTTTGTTTAATGCTGTTTAACTTAATAAAACCAGAAAATGGTGACTATAATAACATGATGTTGTGTCTCACAGCCTCCGCGGCCCGTCGGGAACTACCCCCTCTCTCCGGTCCCAGGGAACCCCACTCCCCCCATGACTCCAGGCAGCGGCATTCCTCCGTATCTGTCTCCAAACCCGGACGTCAAGCCACCTTTCCCGCCAGATGTCAAACCAAATATCACCTCACTACGGCCCCCACCAGGTCAGTCTCTGAACCACACTTGGCTCTCACTACCGCCCCCACCAGGTCAGTCTCTGTACCTTAGCCTGTATATTAGAAGTGGACTGACCGAGTGCTAGAACATAAGCTAGCTGGAGCCACTTTCCTAATATGGGCATTTGTTAAGACTGGGTTAGCTTGGCAGGACTTACTAAAATCTTGGTATTTCCCTCCCGCTCCAAGCTAACCCATGCCTTATCCCCAATATGTTCTTAACCATAACCTTAACTCTAGCAAAGCCGCATTGTGACTCTTAAATGCAAATTTGAATAAAGAAATAGTGAATATTTATCTTGATATTGGACGAAATACCAGGATTTCTTTTGAGTCCCTTAGCTTGGTGCCGTAACAAGACCAGAGCACCACTGGCTGTAGATCCAGAACTAGAACATCCAGAATTGTGGTATAATGTTTATCTGAGGCGGTAGCACTAGGACTGAGGCTGTGCAGTGGAACTGAGGAGGCTCCCAAGGCGGGGATGGAGGTCCAGCCCACGAGTCCAGATGAAAGAGGCCAGATTCAGGCTCCCATCTTCACACCGTGAAACAGACAAATGTAATAAATGTACACTTCCTGTTGTTGCAGTGGGACAGGGGGAGGAGCTCCGCCTCACGTTCCCGGTGCGAGACGGCGTGGTCCTGGAGCCCTTCAGACTGGAGCACAACCTGGCGGTCAGCAACCATGTGTTCCACCTGCGTCCCTCTGTGAACCAGACGCTCATGTGGAGGTCAGAATACACCTGCTTGATTTGAATAAAAGTAGTAACAAAAATATATCAGAATTCCATTTTTTTGAGCTGTCAACATGACTGCTGTGGGAGTCCATCCATCCATTTTCTTCCGCTTTATCCGTTGCCGGGTCGCGGGGTAGCAGTCTAAGCAGAGACGCCCAGACTTCCCTATCCACACACACTTCCTCCAGCTCGTCCGGGGGGACCCCAAGGCGTTCCCAGGCCAGCTGAGAGACATAGTCTCTCCAGCGTGTCCTGGGTCTTCCCCGGGGCCTCCTCCCGGTGGGACGTGCCCTAGGTGCTGTGGGAGTCCTAGTGTTAAAACATTCTGCTAACCTTTGCAGGTCTGATCTGGAGCTGCAGTTCAAGTGCTACCACCACGAGGACCGGCAGATGAACACGAACTGGCCGGCGTCGGTGCAAGTGAGTGTGAACGCCACACCGCTCACCATCGAGAGAGGAGACAACAAGAGCTCGCACAAAGCTCTGCATCTGAAACATGTTTGTCAACCAGGAAGGAACACCATTCAGATCACCGTCACCGCCTGCTGCTGCGTGAGTCTCCTCTGATTTCTCATTTTTATTATTGTGTGTTTGACTTCTCACAAGTAGATGCAACAAAAAATGACTAATATGTGTATTTATTTGGTCTATCATTAATATTACTATTATAATAGTAATAATTATTACTAGATTATTCATTATCAAAGTCATTCTTTATTACCAGTGAAAGTCATTGATTTAAAAGTGTGTTGTTGTCCCTCTCCAGTCGCACCTGTTTGTGCTGCAGCTGGTTCACCGTCCGTCAGTTCGATCAGTTCTTCAGGGGTTACTGAAGAAGAGGCTCCTCCCGGCAGAGCACTGCATAACCAAAGGTATTATCATTATTATTATCATTTTCATTACTATTATCATTATCATCATTATTATCCTCCCAGTTCAACAGTCACAAACAGCATTCAGCAAACTTTACAATATGGTGTAAAGTTTGCTGTTTTAGTCTCAACAAAACTCACCATGTTTCAAACTCAAATGCAGGTTCTGTTTTTGTTTCAGTGAAGCGTAACTTCAGCAGCGTGGCGGCGTCATCGGGCGCCGGTTTGAACGGAGAGGACGGCGTGGAGCAAACCGCCATCAAAGTGTCTCTGAAGTGTCCGATCACCTTCAGGCGCATCCAGCTGCCGGCGCGGGGCCACGACTGCAAACACGTGCAGGTAACAGGAAGTGACCGGAGGACTTTTCCCTGTGCTCTTATATGCATCTGCTGGTCTTGTCTAAGTAGTGTCCAGTTTCCATGGTTACATGCAGCGTAAGGTCCAGTACACACTGCACCCATCACTAGAAGAGGTGTTGCAGAGCTGATTTCAGATGCAAAACTGTTGACTTTGTAGAAGCCTGGAGCCGCACGCCGACGCGCCACGCATATGAGCCTTGCTTAGTTTTTGCCGCACCGTGATGCAGCTTTCGGTCTAAACATGTGGGAAACATGTTTATTCTCGCGCTCTTTGACATTAGATCAGATCCTCTCTTCCATAGCATTTGTATTTAAACATTAGAAGGAGGCGCAGGTTTGACAGTGATTCACATCACAGAGAGCAGCAGCAGGATCTGCTCGCTCTGCCGGTGTGTACACATGCTGCGTGGCGCCTCCTCCTCCGAGAGGCACGCCTGTGGTACCTGCAGGTGAAAGCCAGATCCTGTGAGACCTCTTAAGCAAAGAAGGGCAGGGCCTGGAAATGAGTGGTAATTGTGAGCTGTTTGTTGCAGTGTTTCGATCTGGAGTCGTATCTGCAGCTGAACTGTGAACGAGGGACGTGGAGGTGTCCTGTCTGCAAGTGAGTTGGAAAAAAGTTATCAATAATATGTTTGAAAAAGTTTACATCGCTCCACATGGATGATAACTCTGCTGTAGTCCATTATAATGTGATTCCCTGGGAGTTTGTTTTTACCGTTCCTGTTATCCTTTGGTAAAATTGGTCCAAACAACACGGCAACCTTTTCCATTTATTGGCTGCTTAAACCTGGGGTATCTAACTTAAATTCACTTTTCTGTTTGAAAAAGCTGATAGCAAGAGGCCAGAAAACACACGCATGTGAAAACAAAGTGATTTATAGCCAGGTTCTAGTTACATTGTTTTGATAAAAGAAAAATGTAGATTTTTTTAGTTATTTCACAATCATGAAATGCCAAAGTAACTATAGAATGCATAATATCAGTACTTTGTGTAAATCTGTTGCTACGTTGTGCTTTGTGTGTGCAGTAAAACCGCGCTGCTAGAAGGCCTGGAGGTGGACCAGTACATGTGGGGAATCCTGAACGCCATTCAAAAGTAAGACTCAATTCAACACTAATAACAACACATGCTAATTCATCATGTACTGTATGTATTAACTCCTCCTCTTCCTCATTTCTCGTGTGTAGTTCTGAGTTTGAGGAGGTGACCATCGACCCCACCTGCAGCTGGAGGCCCGTGGTCATTAAGTCTGAGCTCCACATAAAGGAGGATCCAGACGGGCCGCTGTCCAAGAGGTTTAAGACCATGAGTCCGAGTCAGATGGTCCTGCCCAACGTCATGGACATGATCGCCCAGCTGGGACCGGGCGCCACGCCGTACACGCCACAACACGGCAACAACAGCAGTGAATACGGAGGCCAAGGTCAGACAATATACAGCTTTTGAGCTCTTCCACCATTTAGTACGTTTGCGAAGCATAAGGAGACAGAATAGGCTAAACACACAGACGTCATTTGGAGTTGCTCCCAAACCGGTCTGATCACTCTGGTCCCAATCTGTATGTGCGCTTTTTCCGATTGAAGCTTTATCCGACTTTGTGAAGCTTTCAAAGGAACACTCAAACTTTCGTTCACTTCATATAGCTTCATGTTGCCTATGTTATTGTTTTGACTTTTTTTTTGTATGCCCTATGCTGATGAAATGAAATTGCCCTGGTGGAATAAATAGTTTGAATCTGAATCTCAAACTTTCAAAATCTAGTAAATCTGAAATATAGCTGCAAGCGGTAATGGACGGCCCTTGGCTGCCCCTCACATCTCTCTGTGAATAAACAGTGCTTTCTATGTCATTCCAGGCAACAGTTTTCCGGGCCACAGTAACTTTGACTTCCCTCACGCTAATCCCGGAGGTACTTCCATGAACGACTTCATCCCCGGGCCTCAGCTGTCCCACCCTCCGGACCTCCAGGGGCAGCTCATGAACCACGACAAGCCGCTCTCGCACCACATCAACGACTCAGTGAGTATCAGGCAGTAGATCTGTCTGAGCAACAACCACTGTAGTATCGGAAAAAACGATAGATACATGTGACGTTAATTTATTTCATGTTTTTCACTATATTTTCTACATAAATTATTATTATTATCAAAGCTGGGGTATCTAAGTTTTTGGCTTCATGAAAAATACATGTCCCCAACAGAAAGACTCTTGTAAAAGTAAAATGTTATGAACGAGTCAGACCACATAATGCTATCTCTATCTTATCTATTTTTTTAACTACTTTTAAGAAGGAGCCTTGTGAGTCACTATTTGACACTTTGGGCTCAGAGCTGATTGGCTGAGGGAACGTAGTCTTCTGATCTAAAGATGTGACCAAAAATGCATAGAGGTTACAGAGGTTCTATTTATTTAGTCTTTTTCCTGGTTGTTATTGTTGAAACCTCTTGTCTCTCGTCCACAGATACCTCACTCTCTTGGCAGTGACCAATCACATAGCGTGCTGCATCAAACTCTCCACGGGTCTCCGCGAGGCGCCAACCAATCAGGGCCCTCGTTACTGCAGCAACCAGGGCAACAACTACATCCAGGCAACCATATGGGAACATCGCTACATCAAAACAGCCAATCGGGGCCATCGCTACATCCAAACAGCCAATCAGGACCATCGCTACATCCAAACAACCAATCAGGACAACAGCTTCATCCCGGGAGCCACTCAGGGCCTTCGTTACTTCACAGTGGTTCGCAGAGACAAGCCCCGCCCCCTCAGCAGACGCGACCGCAGACGCCCGGTGACCTGACGTTTAACCCTGGCCTGGATGGGACGGGGTCGGACATGCCCGAGCCTTCCCTGGACGTGAGTTATCTATATAGATTTTGTACTTATGTATTTATTTAATAGGACAAATTAGTTTAATAAACAAGTGAACGAACGTAAATATGCCGGATTATAGCTACCAAACTCATTTCCATCCGCAGCCCTAAGGCAGGTACAGGGAATAAAAGGGGCCAAGTGTTGAGCCTTGAGGCACACCACTTTTCTGTCCAGAATTACTTTTAAAACTGTGATTAAATACCCAATCTAGAGATGTAACTAAAATCTGTTGTTTTCTCTTCAGCTTCTTCCAGAGTTGGCGAATCCGGATGAACTGCTGTCGTATTTAGACCCTCCGGACCTCCCCAACAACAGCAGTGACGACCTCCTTTCGCTCTTTGAAAACAACTGAGAGAAACTTTTTAAAAACTCTAAATAAACTGTATGAACCCTGAGCCACTAGAGCCAAAATGTCCGCCGGCAGACACACACTGATGCACTCCCCTGTTCCTCTTCCTTTGTACAGTGTTCCATCGACCAGCACAGACTATCTTCATTGAAACCGCGCAGCTAAAAAAAAAAAAAAAATGTTTTTTATAATAAGCATGTTGATATGCACTCATGTAGCATTTTCTATTTGTGCGTTTGTTTTACATACAAAATTTAAAAAATCTATAAAAAATAAATTAATAATAATGATAATAATAACAATAACCAGGCGATTGTATGTTGCATTGACACAAGCTAAAAGTCAGGCTGCATCCAATTTCATAATAACATTTTGTCTTTCTTGGTCTTAAACAATTATTTTTATGAGACTGGGTAGATCCACATTCTATCAAACTAAATGTAAGTCTTTCATGTATGCTTCTATAGGTATAATAGAAGCATCAATGCCACAAGAAACAGCAAGGAAGGATACAAAAGAAGGTATGTTTATGAATTCGGATGCAACCAGGAGATTTGATTGAGTTTTTTGTTGCATTAATTATTTTACAATTGGGATTTTTACCATGTTTTCTTTATATACGGCACACATTTGTCCTCTCCTTTTGTCTATGGTCTAAACAGGACTATTGCTGTGCTATGGGAATTATTGTCTACATCGTTAAATAAACTTGCTCTTGCATAATGTTGGAAAAGGTAGGGATTCTTGTTGTTCACTGTATTCAAAGCAACAACAAAATTTTCTTATGATTCGTTCCAATCCAAGTTTTTAATGAAATTGTATCTTGAGTCCTACTTTACTCTGCTCTACTTGGCTCTACTCTACCTGGTTGCTTTTCCATTATGCTTTAGCATCAAGTACCATGTTCTAGCAACCTACTATAGAACCTTGGCCAAGCAGGTTTTAAAAAGGTACCTAATATCGGTTAAACAGGGCTGAACCAGGTAGAGAAGAGTTGGGGCAACAGGGCTAAAGTACTAATTTCTCAACAACCATTGTTGAAATCAATGTCAAAACTACGCTAAGAAATTGGTGTTTTCATAATTTTACGACGCAAAATGTCCTGATATTTAAACACTCCAAACCTTTACCTTTGTATATTCACTATTATTTTATTTTCTTATGTGTAAAAGTTTGCTTTTTTAACATTAACCGCTCATCACCAAAGTTGGGGATTGGAGGCCTGTGTTTGTCTATGGGACTGCCTGGTTGAATGTTGTAAATAGTAGGCTAAGCTAGCAGTGATTTTAGCCATTGCTGCTAATGCTAAAATGCTAACGTGTCGGTTGAAGCCGTGTGGGAGATGTTTGTCCATTATGCAAATGTATTATTTTTTAAGAAATGCTATTGTATTGTAAATATCTGTGAATATTTTTGTATCATCTTAATAATGTTTGTCTTTGTTTAGTTGTTCAAAGCTAACCACATTATTAGTTCTAAAGTGCGTATGACAGGTTTTTAAGATTTCTTTATTCAGGTTTTTTTTGGTTATTTATAGTCTTTCACTTATAAAACCACCATTTATTACCAAAACTTAAATATTGGCATGCACAGGAAGTAGCTAGTAAGAGTACTGATGACATCACGTCAGAGAAATTCTGATTTTCGAAAATTTGATTATTTACATTTTCTAAATAAACATAAAATTCTCATAATCTACATTGTCAGATCATATTTTTGCTGTATAATAGAGGGGCAGTAACTTTAATTTATAATATAACTCTAAGATATACAGGATGGTTCCCCAGCGTGATGTCATCATTCAACCAGGAAGTCAAAGAGGAAGTCATTATAAAGCCACAAAAAACACTAAAATCTTTGTATTTCAAGGTTAATATTCACACATTATTGCTATTTCTTTATTAAAACTTGCATTTAAGAGTCACAATCTGGTTAAGGTTAAGACAAATCAATGGAATTCTGATAAATTCCCCCCTGAAGTTAGTTTACCACCATTTTGGTTAAAAGTAAGTAATTAATATGGGTTTTGCCTTTACTCACTTTTAATAAGTGCCAAAACTGGTGAAACACAACTACTACAGTTTGTTGAAATGCTAACTGCTGTCAAATAAACTGTGTTGCTATGGTAACTAGTACTTGCTCTTCAGTTTTAGTGTCAAAACGACTGCCCTTGGAGTTCGAGTGTTGGTGAAGGTTAGGCCTGGGGATAAAGCAGTAGTTAGCTTGCAGTGGGACAAAATTTATAAGATTTTAGGGAGTCCCAAAAAATAAAATAAATGACCAAACTCAAATTTTTTAGCACAAAAACCTAATGATGAAAACTCTGAACCTGTCACACGCTCTTTAAATTAATGTAATATCAAGCAGCATTTTAGGATTTTGAAATTTCACATCAAAGTTATAGCAGAAGGCAATACAGCGTCTTATTGTGTGATATTAATTCATTCACTCATTCAGCCTCCTGCCCATCTATTCCCAATTGTAGCAACTTTTTATCATTTATAATTTCGACACCCAGATGCATTCAAAAAACATTTAAAAACAAACCCATATTTATATTTTTGTGACTTTTTTAACACGACAGAAAACTCATGAATCTTTTTGTTAAATTATTTTGTACTTTTTATTATTGTCAACAGCAGAGACCACAGCTGTATTGAATTAGGTGCGATATTCGGGTTTTACTGTGTACAAATATGCACTATAGTGTACTTACAAAGTAGCCATCACCTCACACACGCAGTAGGAAGTTGCAAAATTGGTCTTATACTTAAGAAAACTTAAGAAATATAGGATTCCCTTTGTGTAAACAAGCAAATATGTATTTATAATTGAAGAAATACTGATCTATTTAACCAAAACAAATGGTTCTGTTGTCTAATATGGTATGGTAACGCAGCAAAAATTACAAGAAATAAGTTTAAAATTATTGCATATTTCACTAAACCTGCTTGTTTCTGTTGGCAAATATTGTGCTAAGAATGATATTGAATAAAGAAGAAATACTTAAGAACACATCTCCATCGTGTGGTAGAAGTGGGGAACTGCATTGTGCTAGATTTAGATCGAAATCTAACATGGCTTGGTCTAAATTAGTGTTTCCCAACCGTGGGTATTAGGGGAAGTACTTAAAAACTTGCCAACATTGATAGTAATAGGTATTATTGGGCTACTATGGCATGTTAATTTTAAAGGTAATTTTCTTAAGGAAACAATCATATCAAATCTATTCTAAAGATTGAATCCAGAACACGATTAGTAACAAGAATGATGATAATAAAAATAATACTAATACTAATAATTGGTCATTCATCAGTCTGTAATAACAAACATTTCTTGCTTTTGGATCAGTTTTGGTTCAGTCAAAGCATGAACTAGTTTTGTTCAGGAAAATCTAGGACTCAACTGAAATAAGAAAATCTACATAACATGAACAAAACCAATTAATGAGCAAAAATGTATCTGTATCTTGTGTCCAAAGTCAAGGCCAAACTATATTCTTTGATTATTTTTGCAACTTTTTACTGTGCGTCTAAAATGGCACACCTCTGACCACACACACATTTAAGTCAAATTTAAGTTTTTTATGAATGAAGTGAAAGCTCAACTTCGAGTTTGTAATTTACTGCAGAAAAAAGTACATATGTAAATGAAATATAGAGACTTGTGAACTCTTTTTATTAGGAATGTGCAGTGTTCCTTCACAATAAAGGCTGGACGCCTTTTCAGCATAAAACGCCTACGAATAGAGACTTATTAGTGAGTTTTTGATTTGATTTTTTATTATTATTTGTCCAATGTGTCACCTGGATGTACTTTTCAATAAATTATAATATTGTGGAGAAGAGAATTGTGGTTGAATTCAAATTACTTTTTTTATGCAGACACATAATCAGTGGGGTAATCTCTGTCCTAATCAATATTAAAATACTATTTCGTGCTAGCAGTTGCTAACATGAATACATAACTTCTTTAAGTAATACTATTATAATTGAAGAGCTTTTAAAATAAGAAGAAACTAAGAATGAATAAATATTTTAAGCCACGTTTAAGACAGCTATTTTTGTCCGTAATTTTTACGGTATTTAACTTCATGATTGATATAAAAGTAAATTAAGCCTTGTTTCCAGCAGCCCTACTTGGCCCTAGTCTACCCTTCTCGGCTTTACTCTACCCTGGGCCGAGTAAAGCAGCTGAAAGCCATGGTTACCAGGGAATTTCCAGATACTAAAGCGTAATGGAAATGCAACAATGTAGTGTAGAGTAAAGAAGGGCCTTGTATGGCTGTAGTAAATGGGGCCATAGATTTATAAACTTGAGCTTTCTTTACATGGAGAACTGCAGCATTTTAAGTGTGAATTATTATATACAGTCTATGGTGTGAATCCGTTGTGTAGTTTCTATCCCGCATTGCGAAGACCAGTGGTGAACTTGAGCATTACATAAATAGTTTGTGACATATTATATATACGTTACACATGATCAGACAAACAGTCTGATGCATCCATTCCACCCTTGCAAATTATCTATTGAAACATCGAAACTGCCAAATTGATTAAATGAACTATAGATCCATGATTGAACTCTAATAAATTCAACGTAATTTTTGCTTACACAACCAAATAATTGCCGTTATTTTTCCCCAACGCTGTTCTGACATCTTTACGTTAGTGCCCCTCCCCCCTGACAATAACGCATTTACGCTTGTACATACTTATAATATTTCTTATTATATATATAACTTATATTATATAACTCAATGAGAAGTAACATAAACTAATGTATTCTAAAGTATAGCATGTTTTAACGTAAGGTATTAGTGCGTTGAAGAAAAAAATGGACTTTAGTATTTTTTTCCCTAACGTAGTTTTTTTCCGGTTGGAATTAGCATTTATTTTTCGTTGGCCAAACAATAACCAAAATTCATGAAAGATTAAAAATATAAAATTACGACTAAAATAGTAGCTAGCATAGATCATGAAGGCACAATTGTGGTGGTAGGGAGATTTGAGTTGGGGAAAATATTCCGTTCATCCAAACTTCCTGCTGTCCTCCCATGCTCTGCAGCTGCGTGACTTTGGTGCACGTTTCATCTCAATTCAGTGTCTGTTTCGGTGTTTAAACTGTGAAAATGCTGCTTGTATCGAACCGAACCAAGCTGTGCTCCGTGTTCTTCACTGCGGCTCGCCTCTACAGCACTGGCCCGGCTGCAGCTAACAACAACCCGGTGGTTTACTTCGACATCTCCGCTGACAACGAGCCGCTTGGTCGGGTCACCTTTGAGGTAACGCTGTGTGCAACATGTGACCTTTGGGAGCTGGGAAAAAAGCATGAGGAAATATGAATATGTATTGGCTTTTTCATAGGGTTAAACTGGGGACTGCATTTATTATATTAAGAGTACACTATGGACTATTCCAAAAATCCAGTTCCAATTTCACAGCCTTGTTTTATCCTATGTCCCAGCAGAATTCAGGGTTTTTCTAAATACAAGGCATGTCCTTTAGTTTGTTGAATTTGATATTTACCAGGCGCCTGATCTATTGTTTAGGATGTAAATAGAACAAACGTTTAAAAAGACAGAGATTAGTAACGCTTTCTTTTGTTTATTGTTTTGTGCAATAAAAACAACCTGGGTCTGAAATAAATTACTTAAAACCACATTTCAACCAGTCATACTTGATTCTGTTAAACATTCATATATGGCCATGTAGGGCTGGTGGAAACGGGGCTATACTGAACCTAAATAAGGATCCAGTTAAGGATTTCTGCTAGACTCGTCCAATACTCCATGTCATCGAGTCACAATAATAACACATTTTGATGGGCGAAATATTTATTGAGAAATCTAAAGCCAAAAGCGATAGTATTGAAATTACTTTATCCCAATGACGCAAGCACAAACCATGAGTAAAGACATGGTTTGATTTGTCTGTTCCATCATACACCCATGCACTAGTATGAAAATCCATATTGAACATTCTACAGCTTTGTAGCTAAATACAATTTGTCAAATAATACAGTTTGTCATATGTTTTCTGTCCATCCGTCTCTATTTTTGGTTCGTAAAGTACATTGCAAATCAGATCAGACTTCAATTCCTGTAAAGCATGATAATTACACACATATTGCTCCGTTATTTGAGTAGAGTGTGGACAAAACCCAACAGGACTGAACCACGTTTCCTCCCCTCTGGCTCTAAACCTTTTCTTGCTGTTTCTTTGCAGCTAAACGCAGAAGTCGTTCCCAAAACTGCAGGTGAGACATGTTTGAACAAAAGTGGTACTGCAGTCACAGTCAATATTTTGTAGTCCTCTCCCATTCTCCCTGACTCAGGTTGCCAGATACACACCAAATCCAGCAGCAAACACAGGGAATTATTTTATCAGTTGTTTGTCTGTCTCCATTCACATTGCCATGAGGCCTGCTAATGTTTAATTAATGTTGAATTTTTATTTTTTATTTGGACATTTGAGGTAAAAAACACAAAACAAAATAAAAGCAATGTAATTATAGATTATCCAAAATAAATAAGCAACTGATGTCCAAAATAGGAGTGGGAAGAATGGATGTTGGAACATGTTTCTTCAGCGTATCAACATCAGGGTTTTCTCCAGAGGATATCACCTTTCAATTTTATTTATTCCCTATTTTTTTAGACAAACATGTATAAGTCCCACATCAAAAAGAGGCTAACATTATTTTAATTGGGTACATGTGGTCTCAAATGATTATTTTTACAATTAAGCTATAATCTGCAAAAAAACATCTTGACCTTCGTCTTTTACCGTTTTTAGAGCAATCTGTCATAGAATGTGATAACATGCAATTAAATATAAATCTGCCCGGAATTGAACACTGGTTGCTGCGTCGTGAGCGCGTGGTTTTACCCACTAGACCATCGATTCGCACAGATATAGTCACTCTGAAGAACGGACACAAAGCAGCAAATTTTGCATCACACGTAAACTTTTATCAGCTGTCTCAATTGTTCAAAGGCGTCCCGATATAAATCCTCGTTTTAGTCTTTGTTTTGTCATTAATGATTTGAGAGTCATAACAAGACCTTTTTTAGTTCTGCGCCACATGTTATTTTACCACTGAGATTAGCCGCGTAGAGTTCTGGCAACCCGATCACGGACTTACATGACACTTCCTGATCGGCAAAACGGCGGAGGGTAGGACATCAAAATCAAAACAATAACAACTTTTACGGGTCGTAAAACTAATTTTGATATTCAAACCAGAATGGTTCATGTTTATAAATGTAATCAGGAGTTGTTTTCTTTTTGGTTTTGCAATTAGGGGCAAGCACTCATAAGTATTTCCTTACTTCTGTTTGCTCCTTTTGAGCTCTATACAGTATGTGTTTTAAGTTCTGATTGTATACACAACTGTAGTTATGATTTGTCCTTGTATGTACTGTTTAAACAGCTCAAATAAAGTAAAAAATAAAATAAACATATCTCTGCTGATCTACTGTTATCAGTTAAAGATGTTTTCAAAAAGAGCATGATTTAATAACGCCTTTTGAAATATGGAGGCCATTTAATGACTTGACATCAGTGGGGGAGGGTCCCAGCTCAAAAGTGGCCAAAATGACGTGCGCTGACATGCTTGCAATACCACCCCGGGCTGATGGGGGTGGACCCAGAAGTAGAATTAGCCAATGCTAACATAGCGTTAGCAGACCTCTCAAAAACGTCTTTACAGGATGGACCAAAAGTTGGCTCTTGGCCCAAAGCTCCGTTCCACATGTGTGTCAATGCTGAGGGGGGTGATTTTTTTGGACCACTCTAGTTTACTTGCTGTGAATTTTGGAAGTCTCTCGTTCAAATGAACGGAGTTGCGCCGGCTGACGCATGCGCAGATGCGTTTTTTCACAATTTTCTTGTGGGCGGGACCACTCGCGGCCATTTTGGATTGCTCCAGTAGAGCAACATTTTTTGGCCCATTAGTTAGAACCGCAGAGATAGGCGTGACTCTGTCCATTAATATATACAGTCTATGCTTGACATGCAAATATTACATACTGCTACTTTAAAGCTATGCAGAAAACTCTTTAAGTTCAATGGGGAAAAGCCAAGTGAAACAGCTAATTATGTAAATATCAATACTTATCTCTACTGTATCGATATAATTTCATGCGTAAAATATTGCGTTACTGAACAGAATCAATGTTTTTTTCCCACACCACTTTTTAATAATGTTGAGTTTCTTGCTGTTGGGTCTGATGCTAATAAAAACTTAAAATTACATATCCACAAGAATAAAATATTAAAATGGATTTGGCTTCGATAACCCGTTGTGCATAAACTCAGCTATAAAACTAGTATTTGATGACTCATCTCTATAGCAATAATACATTCTCATTTCAATGCAATAAACTGTTGATTCTTTGTCCCAGAGAACTTCAGAGCCTTGTGCACCGGAGAGCAAGGCTTCGGATACAAAGGCTCCATCTTCCACAGAGTCATCCCACAGTTCATGTGTCAGGTATGGGCCTCTTTAAACATCTAAGATTTTAAAAACATTTCGCTTACTACACTATATTCAAAGGGATAACAATTGTTTTGGGTCTGGCAGTCTAGTTAGAGGAGAGACCCGGCTGGGGCCCTGTCATGAAGCCACCTGTGCCATTCCCTTAGTGATAACACAAAGAATACATTACAGAAAAACATCTGGAGTTAATCAGTCTAATCTGGAAAATCTAATTCTTGTTCCGTGTAAGAATCAGCCGACCGCAACCGCTGATACTGAAACTTTGAAACTTGCTACGCTTAATGTCAGATCTCTTTGTAACAAGTCTTTTTTAATCAATAATTTTATTTGTTCTCATAATCTTGATCTTATGTTCATGGCTGAAACTTGGCTTGACCAAAATTCAGAAAAGGCAGTTTTAATAGAAGCATCACCACCAAATTTCAAGTTTGAATCTGAAATACGGGAAAACAAAAAAGGAGGAGGCTTAGCTGCCATTTTTAGAGACCACTTTGTCTCCCATAGAATGTCTCTTGGGAAGTTTTCGTCATTTGAATATGTGTCTTTTAAAATACAACAAAAACAATCTCCTCCAATACTCTTCGTTGTCCTATACAAGCCACCGCAGTCATGTCACAGTTTTATTGATCATTTTACCGAGTTGCTTTCAGTTGTATGCACAGATTTTGATAGTTTGGTTATTACAGGTGATTTTAATATTCATGTGGATAATGTTGATGACAGAAATGCAAATGAGCTGAGTTCTGTACTTGAATCCTTTGATCTCACTCGGCACGTAAGTGGCCCCACCCACAGCAGAGGGCACACTCTAGATCTGTTAGTTACAAAGGGGGTGATTATTTCAAATGTAAACGTGGTCGATGTTGCTCTTTCGGATCATTTCTGTGTTTTTTTTGACATGTGTTTCACTAACAAACCACCAGTGGACTCTGCAACTGTTCGAAGAAGGCGCATAAATGAAAATACGAGTGAACTATTTATGGAAATGATAAACTTTGAGAATGCATCGTATTCTACTGTAGATGAACTGTTTAACTCTGTCACCTCTAGTGTTTTGAATGTTCTGGATACCGTTGCCCCTGTGAAGGTTAAAATAGTGAAAAATAAGCAGAAGGCGCCGTGGGCTAAAGCAGACTCGGTCAGGGCACAAAAGAGAGAGTGCCGGAGGGCCGAGCGGAAGTGGCGCAAGTCCAACCTCCAGGTAGATTACGAGATCTTCAAAGATAAGTTGTGCGAGTTTAACCGGGTGCTACGTACTTAACAACTATCGTCCCATCTCAAATCTGCCATTTATGGGGAAAGTCCTTGAGAAAGTTGTCTACCTACAGCTTACTAGATTTCTTATAATCAACAACTCATTTGATATGTTTCAGTCCGGCTTTAGACCCCACCACAGCACTGAGACTGCTCTCGTTAAGGTTACAAACGATATCCGGCTGAACACTGACGCAGGCAAAGTCTCAATCTTAATCTTGTTAGATCTAAGTGCTGCCTTTGACACCGTCGACCATGAGATCCTCTTACAGAGACTAGAGGACTGGGTTGGCGTCACTGGCACCGCCCTAAGTTGGTTTAGGTCTTACCTTGAAGACAGGAAGTACTTTGTGGAGATTGGAAACTGTGTCTCAGATCATATGGCCCTGACCTGTGGAGTCCCACAGGGGTCGATCCTGGGACCTCTTCTGTTCAATCTCTACATGCTGCCGTTAGGTCAGTTAATACGCAGAAACAAAGTTTCCTATCATAACTATGCAGACGACACTCAGATCTATGTCTCACTGACTGCAGGAGAACATGGACCAGTGGACTCACTCCTTCACTGTATCCAACAGATCAGTGAGTGGATGCAAAACAACTTCCTTCAGCTAAACGCAGACAAAACTGGAATGATTGTCTTTGGTCCCCAGAAACAAAGAGAGAGCGTCATCTGTCACCTACAGTCTCTCTCCCTAAAACCTTCAAACAAGGTCAGAAATCTAGGGGTAATACTGGACTCAGACTTAAATTTTAATAGCCACATCAAATCAGTAACATCAGCAGCTTTTTACCATCTAAAAAACATTGCCAGGATCAAAAACATAGTGTCTAAAGCAGACTTGGAGATTCTTATCCATGCATTTGTCTCCAGTAGGTTAGACTACTGCAATGGCCTGCTCACAGGTCTGTCCAAACAGGCTGTAAAACAGCTGCAGTACATTCAAAATGCAGCAGCTCGAGTCCTGACAAGAACCAGGAAGTACGACCACATTAGTCCAGTCCTCAGGTCTCTGCACTGGCTTCCTGTGGCTCAGAGAATAGACTTTAAAACAGCTTTGCTTGTGTACAAGTCTCTCCATGGCCTCGCACCAAAATATATTAGTGACATGTTAGTCCCATATGAACCAGCCCGGACTCTGAGGAGCACAGGGACTGGACTCCTGTTAGTGCCCAGAGTCAGAACTAAACATGGGGAGGCTGCTTTTCAGATTAATGCTGCTAAAATCTGGAACAGTCTTCCTGAAGATGTGAGACAGGCCTCCTCTCTGACAATGTTTAAAACCAGGTTAAAGACGGTTCTGTTTAACTGTGCATACAACTGAGGGATTTTATATTTTTATCTTTCTTTTTAATGTTCTGTGATAATTTATGATTTTAATGCTTTCTTGTTTTGTTCAGCACTTTGAATTGCCTTGTGTATGAATTGTGCTATATAAATAAACTTGCCTTGCCTTGCCTTGCCTAGTTAATATGTTGCCTTTTAAATTAACCAGGCAAATCCTTTAAAGCAGTGAGGGGCGGATTTTTGGTTTCCTTAATGTCATTTCTAACATCTACCACCAGAGGGAGGCGTTTTAAAAGTTTAGATCATCATTAGACCATTTTCCATGTCACTATTCTACTTAAGGCTGTGGTACTTAACTATACAACCAAAAAATGTAACTATAATACAACTATAAAATGTAAAACCTTGCTCTCAAAACTTCTATCACTAGCTTCCACATGCATTTAATGTTGGCCTGTCACGTTAGATCAGCTTTTTCAGTCATAAGACACTAGAACAATCTTTATTATTTATGCGAAAGCGTTTTTAGTTACCTGGACGTAAAGAAAGGTTACATTCTAAAACATATCTAGTCAATGTTGATAGATCCAGATCTTTCTTAAATGTCCTGTAACAGCTTTGCATCATGAATGAACAGAATCAGCGGTGATATTAAAGTGTTGGAAGTTACTAGCATCAAATGTGTTGTGTTTAACTGTAGATGGTGCTAATACAGCTCAGCTAACACTCTTTACCGCTGTTGAAACCAAGGTCCCCATGAAATATTAAAGCTGTGATTGTATTTTCAGGGCGGAGATTTCACGAACCACAACGGGACTGGAGGAAAGTCCATCTACGGGTGGAAGTTTCCAGACGAGAACTTCAAGCTCAAACACACTGGAGCAGGTACTTAAGCCACAGAAACAAGATAAAGGATATCGGCTGTAAATGTGTCTGTAGCTTTAAGATCATCATTATTAGCCTGATTAGAAATGATACACAGAATACACATCAGTAATCTTTAAGTTATCTATGTAAAAAGCTGCAGGGGTTCAAAACAAAATTCTACTTTTGCACATTTAGCAGCTGAATAAGTGATGATGCAATTGCAAGAATGTTGTGGGCTTGAATCCTGATCGGAACAGAGCCTTTCTGAGCCGTGTTTGCATGTTCACCTTTTGCATAGGTTTCTTCTGTGTGGTCCAGTTTTCAATACCACTTAAAACATGTACATTGGGTAGAATCCTCCTGGAACAATATAGAAACATTGATATACATTAATTTGAGCCTGGTGTGGACAGAATTAATGGATAAAATGTATACACATGTAGACAGTCAGCAACAAAGTTATTTCTTATAGTAGTAGTTGCTGCTAATTGCTTCTCATTATTATTATTATTGTGATTAAGCCACATCTATGTAAGGAGCAATGACAGTATTTTCCTTTATGTATATTTGATTAATGTTAAAGTAGCAGTATGTAATATTTGCATGTCAAGTCATCATTAAATGACCCTCATATTTCAAATCATGCTCTTTTCGAAAACATCTTTAACTGATAACAGTAGATCAGCTATTTAGATATTTGATTATCAAAATTAGTTTTACGACCCGTAAAAGTTGTTATTGTTTTGATTTTGATGTCCTACCCTCCGCCGTTTCACCGATCAGGAAGTGTCATGTAAGTCCGTGATCGGGTTGCCAGAACTCCGCGCGGCTCATTCATCTCAGTGGTAAAATAACATGTGGCGCAGAACTAAAAAAGGTCTTGTTATGACTCTCAAATCATTAATGACAAAACAAAGACTAAAACGAGGATTTATATCGGGATGCCTTTGAACAATTGAGACAGCTGATAAAAGTTTACGTGTGATGCAAAATTTGCTGCTTTGTGTCCGTTCTTCAGAGTGACTATATCTGTGCCAATCGATGGTCTAGTGCCGGGGTCGGGAACCCAAAATGTTCAAAGAGCCATAATTGACAAAAAAACTAAAAACAACATCTGTCTGGAGCCGCAAAAAAATAACAGCCTTGTATAAGGCTTTTATGAAGGTAACACAGGCTGCAAGATGTATTAGCTATATTAGCCTAATATCTAAATGACAAAGTAAAGGCTACAAATACATAATAATCATTCATGATTATCAAATGTGTATTTTCACTGCAGCGTGTCGCACCACGCGTGTCGTGAATGACGCAACACGTGACAACTCTGCTTTAGTTTAACTTCCATTTTTTTGCCTTCATGCAATTGTAGAAATACAGTAAATCAATCTGCTTTGGGCTCAGAGGTCACATACCTGCATCACTGTCTGCTCATATCCATCACGTCACAGGCTGAAGTTTGCTGGAGCTGAATTAAAATCCTTAATGACCTTTTCTTTCACCGTCTTTGAGAAGGTTTTGAAGTCTGAAAATAGGTGCTCTGAATTTTTGATGAATGAATCCTTCACGTAATCACCGTTTACGTCGTTTTGCGCGTCATTGTTCCTCGTGTTGCAACAAAACTTTTCATTACAAACATGAAGCAGTCCTTCCTCATTGACTGAAAGAAAATGTTCATTCTCATTCTTAGTCCAGTCTTGTTATCGACTCTTTCTCGTTTTAGCTTTGGGATCCATGTGCACCTACAGTCTATCATGCACACACGCCGGTTTGTTTACAGCAGCGGCCGCATGGGGCGGAGCCGCGTGACCGCGCGTCATAGGATATGACTCACTACGTTGACAGAAATGTTGAAATTAGATATTACTTATACATATTTTTACATTTTATAATTACATTTTTACAGCATTTACAAACGTAAAGATTGTTTTTCCTTCTACAGAAACCACATTCAAACTAGAAATAAAATATAGCCCTCACACTCCATTTTCAGACATTTTTGAAAAGGCGCAGGAGCCACTCCAGGAGCACTCAAGAGCCGCATGCGGCTCCAGAGCCGTGGGTTGCCGACCCCTGGTCTAGTGGGTAAAACCACGCGCTCACGATGCAGCAACCAGTGTTCAATTCCGGGCAGAGCCTTTTTGTATTTAATTGCATGTTATCACATTCTATGACAGATTGCTCTAAAAACGGTAAAAGACGAAGGTCAAGATGTTTTTTTTGCAGATTATAGCTTAATTGTAAAAAGAATCATTTGAGACCACATGTACCCCAATTAAAATGATGTTAGTCTCTTTTTGATGTGGGACTTATACATGTTTGTCTAAAAAAATAGGGAATAAATAAAACTGAAAGATGATATCCTCTGGAGCAAACCCTGATGTTGATACGCTGAAGAAACATGTTCCAACATCCATTCTTCCCACTCCTATTCTGGACATCAGTTGCTTATTTATTTTGGATAATCTATAATTACATTGCTTTTATTTTGTTTTGTGTTTTTTATCTCAAATGTCTAAATAAAAATAAAAAATCTAACATTCATTCAACATTAGCATCATGGTAATGTGAATGGAGACAGACAAACAACTGATAAAATAATTCCCTGTGTTTGCTGCTGGATTTGGTGTGTATCTGGCAACCTGAGTCAGGGAGAGTGGGGAGAGGACTACAAAATATTGACTGTGACTGCAGTACCACTTTTGACCAGATTTTTACATATTGTTCCTTTAAATTTGTTTTGAAGGAATTTTGTCTATGGCAAACGCTGGACCCAACACCAACGGATCCCAGTTCTTCATCTGCACCAGTAAAACAGACTGGTGAGTGAATATGATTTATATACGTTTGTCATTTTACATGGTTCATAATCAACTCTGGTCTGTGAAATGCGCTATATAACTAAAGATTGATTACTTACAACGGATAGGTACCCCAGCTTTAACATGTTCTGAGATGCATGTTAAAACTCACAATACTTATCACAAAAATATCAAAGTGCAGGTGTGGAAACCTGGGGATTTGAAGGATGTTATTCCCCACTCGTACCCCAAGAGGGGGGTGTTTCACTAAACCAGCTCCCTCCTTTCTCCATGTTTATCCTCGTATATCTGCTCCTCTCCAGGCTGGACGGCAGACATGTTGTGTTTGGCAGCGTGAAGGAGGGCATGGACGTGGTGAAGAAGGTCGAGTCTTTCGGTTCACGCTCTGGGAAGACCTCCAAACGGATCCAGGTCACGGACTGTGGGGAGCTCAAGTAGAAGCAGCTCTGTGGTCTCTCTAGTCTCTTTACATTTGAGCCAGAAAATGCTAAATGATTCTTTATGGGAGCTGTGGATCTTCTACTTGAGCCAGTTCAATGTGAAGGGAGATCCAGGTTCAGAGTGAGACCTCTGTGAACTAATAAAAGCCTTTGTGGTCTGTCTCACTCTCTCGTTCTCTCTGTGTCTCGCTCTCTCTCTCTCTGTTTGTTTTCATGTTATGTATTGCGTAGTTCATTCGTTAGTGGTTTGAAAGTTGAGTATCCGAGCTTAAGTTGAATTGTTTGGGAGGTATTATTGCACTCCTGTGTCTTTTTTTCCTTGTGGTTTGGATGGAGATCACATTGCTCATTTGGGCAATTAAGTAGAAATCTAGGTCATTCTAAAGGGTTCACATACTTTATCGTTCCTCTGGACACTGTTTTGCTTCTTTCTGCCTCCTCCCCCATCCCATTCTTTAGCCCTGTTTCCACCAGTCATGTCCCTTCTCTACTTGGCTCTACTCTACCTGGTTGTGTTTTCATTCCACTTTTTAGTATCTGGTACCTTAGTCTTGCCGCCTATACCCACAACAAACCAGAATCTACTAATATCACTGTCAGTTAGAAGCCTTTAGTTGGAGTCTGGATTGAACCAGAGCCCAGAAGGTACTAAGAAAGTACCTGTTACTGGTTAAACAGGGCCAGAGCAGAGTAGGGTTGGTGGAAATGGGGCTAAAGTCTCATAGACACACTGGACAATTATCATGTGAGCTCAATGGAACATCTGAAATGCACCAAACTAATGTGAACTTAACACAGAGGCTGTTGTTTCAAGTGCTTTGTGGATGGAAATTTTATTAATAAACGGTTTTCTATGTGGATTGTTTTCATTCTTACTGGTAATAGAAGTATAATTATGCAATAAAATGCAATGTATTTTTGTATAGCCCTAAATCACAGTAGTTATCTCGGAGGACTTTACAAAGCTGTCGATTGGCAAATGCAGATCAGAGAATCAAACGGTCCAAACACAGGAAATACGATAACACAGAGGCATTGGTCCATAAGGGGCAAATGTTGATAAATGACAGACTAGAGATTAGGGATTGATATTAGAGATTATTCATTTCTGTGATTCCCTTTTTCACACGATTTAAGAGGCATATTCCAAGTGTGTAGGTGTGACAACCTCTAACATTTTGGGGAAACATGCTAAAAGTAATTGTCGGTCCAGTATGCAGTCTGCCTACTGGGTGTGACCGTCCAGGGTATCAGCTGTTACCATATAATCTCACAACAAGAAGTGCAAACTGCTGACTCATCTTTCCTCTGAAAACAAAACCTAATTGGGTAGATAATTATTGATCAAAGGTTGGATGGGCATCAACAGGTAGAAAACTATCTCTGGACATTTGGACATTTTCCTTCAACATTTACTTATTTGCTCCTGCACCTGCTCAAAACAGTGAACTACAATCCTAGAAAAAGAACTCCATCTACAGTAAGTTTGGTTTTCCGGGGAAACTAAAGTGAAACTAGAGTGTGACATCACCTGTGGATAAACCCTTTATAAAGACAGACCGAGGAGAGAGTCCAGTGGATGTTTCTGCAGAAAGACTTTGACATCAACACAATATGAGCGACAAGAAGGTAAGAAACTCATCCATTCATTCATTTAGTGTCTGTTTACAATGTTGTCTCTAAATTCATTTCTGAAGGGAGAAAAATATCCCATACGTTTTTGTCTTTGAATTGGAGTTTTTAATAGAGCAAAAATCCTCCACATTCCTAGTGAGTAGTTCCTGCTTCTTAAGTTGAATTAAAGCTGCTATCTCTAACTTTTTTCATCAATAATACATGTTGTTTGTCCCAATAACGGAAAATATTGAGAACAAATCCAACCACAACATTCTGTCTTCACAATGTTAGAAATGATATTTTTTGGATGCTTGTAAGAGCCCTGTGAGTCACTGTTTGACGCTTGGGGCTGAGAGCTGATGATGAGGGCTGAGTGAGGGTGGTCCCTGTGCTCTTCAGAGTTTATGAGAGAGTCTATGGCACTAACAAGTCACAGATGTACCTTGGGGCGAGGCCGTTAGTGAATAAGCTAAAAGGCCAAAATGAACTAAAATCTTGCATGATGTTTGTTCTTGGTCTTAAATTATTCTTACTATCTCCATGCCTTTGTTTCCAGACTCCGTACCAGGGGGAGGGGAGGTGTTTTGGAGAATACCAGTGTTCCAAATGTAGCAGGAGGTGGATGAGCGGAAACTCCTGGGCGAATATGGGACAGGAGTGCAGCCGCTGTAAGATCATGGTCTATGCTCACACACAGGTGAGTCTGGGTCATCGAGTCACTGTCAAGAACCAGGTTTTTTAAAAAGAAATTAAATTGTGCCTCTATGACCGTTATTATAGTACCGTTATTTTACTTTCTTTGGCAATTTTCTTTTCTGAACCTGTGATACATGGTGGTGCAGGCAATCAGGCTCCGAGATTATTTTTTGCTGATCGCTAAATTCGCTTTCATTGATTGTTGGTGTCACATTCACCGTTTTTGAGGGTTAAAAATCATCATGACTCAGAATATATTATTTTTTATTATTTTTTCTTTTGATTATCCAGATGATTCAGACGCCCTCACAGTTCCCGATTGGCACTCTGGTTGCTATGAGGTTGCTATGTGAAATGTACATCATTCTGTGACTGTTTAAGAGATACTATCTACTTCATGTTTTCAAATCAAATGTGAAACACATAGTGAAACTAACAACAATTAAAACGATTATATGTCATGTGGTGTGTGATTTTAAACCCTTATCCTTTATTAACGTTATGTGACTTTCCCCCAGCGTCCTTTGGAGATGCGAGATGGCTTTAATCAGGACCTAAACAAACCGCACCCTCAGGAGCTGTGTGAGAAGTGCAAGAGGTTGGGCTACTCCTGCAGATGAATCCGGATGACGTCAACTCTGACGAGCCATGACCAAGGGAATCTGTTTTTTGTATGTTTTGACCGATTTAGCTGATACATAGAGATCAAAATCTCACCATATTTAACTATTATATATGTACCTTTTGTTTTTCTGAATTACATTATCTATATTATGTTATTAAAATAACACAAAAAATTCAAAACCGTTTTGTAATACTTATATTGTTTTGGTTTTATGTGAATGGGTCTGTTGGAACTAGGACTGGAACTAGCACTTTTAGTTTTGGAAGTGTAATGACTTGGCTCATGTACCTTTTTGCATTTCATAACTTAGTGATTTTATCGGTATCTAGAAGTAGTTTATTTCTATGTCATTCATTTATTTTATAACTTTTTTCTAACTGAGATGTTGGTGCAGTACAGTGTTCGTGGTTTTGCACTGGTCCAGACCAGAGCGGAGAGGATTCATGGTCCGAACCAAGCGGATCAGGTGAAAATCCACTGGAGGAATGCCAACTTTTTGTTAATCCAAATGAGGCATTTAGCGTTTTACTTTGGAGAAAATGGTCCGAACCAAGCAGCTACTCCACCTGGTGACCTGTTCTGCTCCACCCAGAGGCTACTCCACCTCAGCTGCTGTGACCTGAAGAGCTGTTGCTGATTATTACTATTTTTAACTTTTTAGAATGATAAATATTATTTTTTATTTTTGCTGTTACTGGACACCTGAATAAAGGATCAATAAAGTATCTATCTATCTATCTATCTATCTATCTATCTAATTGCTTTTTGAAATGTGAGTTTCAACAGTCTCTATGGTTTCATCCTGACTAAAATTCAAATCCAGCCATAGAAATCTAACTTTCTATGGCGGTTCAATCCCTCTTTTTCATGGTGGACTGGTTCTAGATTGGTTCTGGGCTGATTTTGAGCCAAATTACCATTACTAGTTACCATAGCAACACACTGTTTACTTACCAACAGTTAGCATTTAGCCTTTCAACAAACCGTTTAACTAGCTTCAGCGCTTATTATTATTACTAATTGTGAAGTGTTTTTAAAGCCCTTATAATTAACTTTTTTTTAAATAAATCTGGTAGAAAAATGAACATTTAAGGGTAATATCTTAGAATTCCATTAGTTTGAATTGGAGCAGTCAAAATGACGGCTCTGGGAGTTCTTGTATCGTAACAATTCTGGCATTATGTTATCATGTTGTTGAGAGTCTCCCTCTTGTGGACTAAACACGGTGGTGACTAAAAGGTTACAGCAGAAGCGGAAAAACAGTGCGAGGAGACCCACCCACCAGGTCCGGGCCATTCTGAGCCAAACCAAACCAACCCTGAACATTACGCACAAGTCCTTCCCCTTTTAACTCCACCACTGCCGCTGCCTGTTCTGCTCTGTGCACTACTCTTCCTGATCCTGACGCCTTCTCTAACAAGTAAGTCACGACACAGAGCTTTTAATAACAATTGTTCACTTTTACGCACAAGACTCCTCCTGTGTGTTTACAGAGATGCGCCAAACTGCACCAAATCTAGTTTTAACTTCTCCAAACGCTCATTTCCGCTCGAGTGGAAATATCCTGCGGTTGTAAATCCCAAGTTAATGATTGTTTTGCCGTGATCAAGCTGGATTTGTGCAAATGTATTCACGGTTAATGCGATTTTTGAGTGAGTTTTGAAGCTAGCTAGTTTTGAAGAATATGATGCTAGCTTAACGGACATAGCTTCGACTGATGCTTTACTGTCGTTTTATGATGTAGCGATAGTCGAGCTATGACAACACACATTTAGGATCGTATTAAGGCGTGTCCACGATTGAAAATGCAAGGACTGTGTGTGTAAAACATGGTGGAAGTAAGAGTGTGTTTGGCTGAGGTTGGGAAATCAAAAGGCCTGTGATGCTGTGAACATAAATGAGCCAAATGTCAAAGTGAAGGTTTAAGTAAATATTAAGAATGTACAACTTTTCAACTCATTTAGGATGGGTATCTTATAAAATAATGTTAATGATGTACTTTTGCAACAAGTAAAAGTTGGAGTGTTCTTATAAAGTATACTTAATAAGAACACTATATACTATAGTAGCTAGTGATTAGTGAAAGATAAAAGAGGGAGCAGGTCATGGAAACAACAATGATTTACAAGTGATAAAAGCGACATCTATCATGTTGGAGGTTGAATATGATGGTGTGAGGTGTGGAATGCCATGTTTCCTCAGCCCTGTGCTCCCCGTGGGCGTGTGTTTAAGTCATTCATGGAAACATTGCTCTACAGTCTTTCGTGGAGTTTATCCATTGTATTGTCTTTGAGGAATGTTCAACGCTTAATCTGTTCATAGTTTAGTCTGATTTTATTTTGCTTTCTGTTCATAGTTTTACACTCGACTGTTTTGTTGTGTAAATATTAAGTGAGTTTGTTTGTATTTCTGATGCACAGATGAAGTCCATGTGGTTCACTGTGACTGTTATAACTGTAGTTTCCAACACGATCCACATGACTTCCTTTCTCTCCTGCAGCTTTGACATGAGTTACCCAGGATACCCCCCAGCAGGTGGATACCCTGCTCAGGGCGGAGGATACCCCCCTCAAGGCGGAGGATACCCCCCTCAGGGCGGAGGATACCCAGGAGGAGCCTACCCTCCTCAGGCAGGAGGCTACCCGCCTGCCCCTGGGGGATACCCCCCCGCTCCTGGGGGTTACCCGCCACAGGCCGGCGGATACCCCCCTGCTGCCGGCGGATACCCCCCTGCTGCCGGTGGATACCCCCCTGCTGCCGGCGGATACCCCCCTCAGGCCGGGGGATACCCTCCTCCCTCTGGAGGATACCCCCCTCAGGCAGGAGGATTCCCCCCACAGCCTGCAGCGGGAGGATACCCCCCACAGCCCGGTGCAGGAGGATACCCTGCCATGCCGCCTGCAGGTGAGAGGCACCAGTGTCAATTATAGTATCTGGACTTTGAAATGTATCATAGATTAGAAACAAATATTTCAAAGAGATAGTTTGGATCAAATCAAAAGAAAAGATTGACGAATAGAAAATAAACGGTCATCAATGACAAAGCGGCAGATGAACTCTCACAAGATTAACATGACTAACACAAACTCTCGCTAAATCACTTGATTTAACAAGGAATAATTTTTGAAAAATAATCAATACAAATTTAAATGAACCTTGAAAAATGTGTCACTGATGTGATGATTTTCGTCATTTTTTTTTCAAAAAATTAAACTTTAAAAATAAAAAGTTATTGTCTGCTTTACTTGGTTTACTTACATTTAGTTTGTTTACTATTTGAAAGTAATCACTTTATCAAATGTGGACATTTGAAAATATGTAGCAAACTTCCGCAGCTCATTCATTCAAAGGATCACGTCTGTTACACAAATAAACATAGCCACTATTGAACATTTGACAAATTTATAAAACGGTTATCTTCTAGCAATTACTAATGGACAGAAGAGGTAATTGCATAAATTGAAAACATTAATCTATCTTTTCATTATTAAGATGAAATGTTGGCCTTCTGTCACACTTTTCTACCCTTTTAGTATGAACTTGCACCACTTGCATGTAGTTTGACTGAAGCTTCTGGAACAGCTGTTTGAAGGGAATGAAAACTTAAACCACTTTTCCATCACGCTCTGGTTTGCGTTTGCTTCACTGCTCTAAAAGTCTTGACTCACGCTCAAATGGGATTCCCTCTGTTTGTCTTTTTGTCCTGTTGTCTTGGAAACGTGACACTGAACACAGCAGACATGTGGAAAGTGAAAACACGTGAAGCTGGACCCGACTGAGTCAACCACTTGTGACCCAGAGTCTGGACTTTAGCCAGTGACGCTGCTGCAGTTTGCCCATGGGATGACTGAGCTATTGTTATGAATAGAACTCTTTCTATACTAGCAATGTGCTGCAAAGGGAAGTTACCAAACATACTTCACTGTGACACCAGTTTGACTTTTTAACCGAGTGAGTGTCAATATTGTGTCAATATTGTTTTTCCAGGTGGAGGCTGGGGTTCAGCTCCAGGTGGATACGGAGCGGTAAGTCCAGTGTAATCCCATCTGCTCTCAGCTTAATCTAATGTGGTCAGCACTAGATCATATTTGGGACGAAAGCGGAAGTTAATATAACCAACTACCTATTCATGCCTAAACTTAACCAGCCATTCCCATAAAATAACCCCAACCCACCCTTAACCCTGACCTTAACCATCTTACTCAGACACCTAAAACTTAACCAGTCACCATTTAAGGACTTATTAGTATAAAACTAATTCGAAAGTTTTCGTCCCGATTCCGTATATGATCTAGTGCCGACCAGTCTAATGCAGGGCCTCTCGCTAATGCTAGCTCCGCCGGAGTCCCCCAAAGCTCAGTATTGGGGCCTTTATTATTCAGTTTATATTTAAATAAAATATCCACAGTTTAGAAATCCAATTTTATATCTATGCTGATGATACAGTTTTGGCCCTGGGTTCGATTCCACCCTTTCCTGGCCTTTCTCTGTTGAGTTTGCATGTTCTGCCCGTGTCTGCCTCGGTTCCCTCCATGCGGTTGTTATCTCGGAGGACTTTAGGCTAGGCAAGGCAAGGCAAGGCAAGGCAAGTTTATTTGTATAGCACAATTCATACACAAGGCAATTCAAAGTGCTGAACAAGATAGCATTAAAATAATAAATAATCACAGAACATTAAAACGAAAGATAAAAATATAAAATCCCTCAGTTGTATGCACAGCTAAACAGCACAGTTTTTAATTTGGTTTTAAACATTGTCATTGAGGAGGCCTGTCTCACATCTTCAGGAAGATTGTTCCAGATTTTAGCAGCATGAATCTGAAAAGCAGCCTCCCCATGTTTAGTTCTGACTCTGGGCACTAACAGGAGTCCAGTCCCTGTGCTCCTCAGAGTCCGGGCTGGTTCATATGGGACTAACATGTCACTAATATATTTTGGTGCGAGGCTATGGAGAGACTTGTACACAGGCAGAGCTGTTTTAAAGTCTATTCTCTGAGCCACAGGAAGCCAGTGCAGAGACCTGAGGACTGGACTAATGTGGTCGTACTTCCTGGTTCTAGTCAGGACTCGAGCTGCTGCATTTTGAATGTACTGCAGCTGTTTTACAGCCTGTTTGGACAGACCTGTGAGCAGGCCATTGCAGTAGTCTAACCTACTGGAGACAAATGCATGGATAAGAATCTCCAGGTCTGCTTTAGACACTATGTTTTTGATCCTGGCAATGTTTTTTAGATGGTAAAAAGCTGCTGATGTTACTGATTTGATGTGGCTATTAAAATTTAAGTCTGAGTCCAGACTTTACAAAGCTGTAGTTTCACCAACACAGATCAGAGAATCAAACGATTCAAACTCAAGAAATGCAATGTTAAAAAACACAGCGCCATTTGTCCATAAGAGGCAGATGACCAACGTCCATGAACTATAATCCAAACTCATTATATTAGTGTGCACAGATTCACTCGCTGCTTGTGTATTTGTTTTTCAGCCAGGAGGAGCACCACAGGGCTACCCCGCCGGCCCTGCCCCTGGACAGCCCATGCCCAACTACCCAGCAGCCCCTGGACCCTCCAACCCGGGCTATGGCGGAGGACAACCCCATCCACAAGCTCCTGCTATTCCTGTGAGACAATAAGACCAATGATATAGAGTAGAACTTGATTTATGTATTTATTTAAAAATAATTACAAAGATTTCTATGGGAACTAAGTACTAAATATTCAAAAATCTAAATTCTACATTCAATCCAGGTCAAACTCAAGTCAGTAGTTTGATTTATCTATTGATCAATGGCTAAATATCAAAGGTCAAATTGTTGTTTTTACTTGAAATTTAAGTTTTTTTGTGTACAATTTAGTGAGAAAGTTTCCACCAGCCCTACTTTACTCTACTCTACTCTACTCTCCCCTCCCTGGTTGCAATTTTATTTTGTTTTAGTGTCTGGTACCGTAACTAAACAACCAATCACTCTATTAGTGTTGATGCCTTGTGTGATTTTTAATGTTTACTTTCCTGTTTTGATTGGGTACTTTTGAGTTTCCTTGCTATACCAATAAACCTGCCTTCCCTAAAGACTGAAACCACACTGTTTTTAACTTTCAGAAAGGATACAGAGGCTCCATCAAAGATTTCCCAGGAGCAGATCCACTCAGGGACGTGGAGGTGCTCCGGAAGGCCATGAAAGGATTTGGTGAATAATGCACTATCCAAAGCTTTTGTTATGACTCTTGTTGAGGACTATTGAGTTGTTTGCATAATTTCTCTCCTGTTGTTTTGAATGAATGGGAACAAACGCTTAAATTGTTCTCAAAATCTACTTTTCTCAGCTATCGACCATGTCACAGCTGTTTTCTCTTGTCCTTTACACTTGTACCGGTAGAAGAGAGGGAGAGTGTCCAGAGAGAGAGAGAGAGGGAGAGTGAGTCCAGAGAGAGAGGGAGAGTGAGTCCAGAGAGATAGTCCAGAGAGAGAGAGAGGGAGAGCTAGTCCAGAGAGCTAGTCCAGAGAGCTAGTCCAGAGAGAGAGGGAGGGAGAGCTAGTCCAGAGAGAGAAGGAGGGAGAGCTAGTCCAGAGAGAGAGAGAGGGAGAGCTAGTCCAGAGAGAGAGGGAGGGAGAGCTAGTCCAGAGAGATAGTCCAGAGAGAGAGGGAGAGAGCGACCAGAGCGAGGGGGATATCCAAGAGCTAGAGAAAGAGGCATTAATAATGTTTTCCGTTTTATCACGTCTCACTAATTGGAAAAGCACAAACAATGTATTTTTTCTTTGGTGAAGTTTGGCTCATAATCAAAATATCTGGGGATAAAACTGGGCCCCTTCGTTAGAGCGGAGAGTTTCTAAAAAGACTTCACAATGGAAGCTTTGAATTCTACTGTATCACGGGGACGATTGCAAATGTGACTGTTTTTGTTTTGTACTCAGGAATGAAATCTCTCACATTCTTAACGTAACTTCAGGGTGAGAAAAAATGGTATCAAATGTTTTAATCTTATGCTACTCTTACATACATCGCAGGACATCGCTAGTCTATCTCCATCTATAGGACCAGCAGGTTTTAGACCAGTGGTGTCCAGACCTTTTATTGATGCAGAGCAGAGAGAGGCAGCAGAGAGAGAGGCAGCAGAGAGAGAGGCAGCAGAGAGAGAGAGGCAGCAGAGAGAGAGAGGCAGCAGAGAGAGAGAGGCAGCAGAGAGAGAGAGGCAGCAGAGAGAGAGAGAAGAGAGAGAGAGGCAGCAGGAGAGAGAGAGGCAGCAGGAGAGAGAGGCAGCAGGAGAGAGAGGCAGCAGAGAGAGGCAGCAGAGAGAGAGGCAGCAGAGAGAGCAGCAGAGAGAGGCAGCAGAGAGAGAGAGGCAGAGAGAGAGAGAGAGAGAGCAGCAGAGAGAGAGAGAGGCAGCAGAGAGAGAGAGCAGCAGCAGAGAGAGAGAGAGCAGCAGAGAGAGAGAGAGGCAGCAGAGAGAGAGAGAGGCAGCAGAGAGAGAGAGAGGCAGCAGAGAGAGAGAGAGGCAGCAGAGAGAGAGAGAGGCAGCAGAGAGAGAGAGAGGCAGCAGAGAGAGAGAGAGGCAGCAGAGAGAGAGAGAGGCAGCAGAGAGAGAGAGAGGCAGCAGAGAAGAGAGAGGCAGCAGAGAGAGAGAGGCAGAGAGAGAGAGAGAGAGGCAGCAGAGAGAGAGAGAGGCAGCAGAGAGAGAGAGAGGCAGCAGAGAGAGAGAGAGAGGCAGCAGAGAGAGAGAGAGAGGCAGCAGAGAGAGAGAGAGAGGCAGCAGAGAGAGAGAGAGAGGCAGCAGAGAGAGAGGCAGCAGAGAGAGAGGCAGCAGAGAGAGAGGCAGCAGAGAGAGAGAGAGGCAGCAGAGAGGCAGCAGAGAGAGGCAGCAGAGAGAGCAGCAGAGAGAGAGAGCAGAAGAGAGAGAGAGCAGCAGCAGAGAGAGAGAGGCAGCAGAGAGAGAGAGAGGCAGCAGAGAGAGAGAGAGGCAGCAGAGAGAGAGGCAGCAGCAGAGAGAGAGGCAGCAGCAGAGAGAGAGGCAGCAGCAGAGAGAGAGGCAGCAGCAGAGAGAGAGGCAGCAGCAGAGAGAGAGAGAGCAGCAGAGAGAGAGAGAGGCAGCAGAGAGAGAGAGAGGCAGCAGAGAAAGAGAGAGGCAGCAAGAGAGAGCAGAGAGAGCAGCAGAGAGAGAGCAGCAGCAGAGAGAGAGGCAGCAGAGAGAGAGAGAGGCAGCAGAGAGAGAGAGAGAGGCAGCAGAGAGAGAGAGAGAGGCAGCAGAGAGAGAGAGAGAGCAGCAGAGAGAGAGGCAGCAGAGAGAGAGGCAGCAGAGAGAGAGGCAGCAGAGAGAGAGAGAGGCAGCAGAGAGAGAGAGAGGCAGCAGAGAGAGAGGCAGCAGAGAGAGAGAGAGAGAGGCAGCAGAGAGAGAGGCAGCAGAGAGAGGCAGCAGAAGAGAGAGGCAGCAGAGAGAGAGGCAGCAGAGAGAGAGGCAGCAGAGAGAGAGAGAGGCAGCAGAGAGGCAGCAGAGAGAGAGGCAGCAGAGAGAGAGAGAGGCAGCAGAGAGAGAGAGAGGCAGCAGCAGAGAGAGAGGCAGCAGCAGAGAGAGAGGCAGCAGCAGAGAGAGAGGCAGCAGCAGAGAGAGAGGCAGAGCAGAGAGAGAGAGAGGCAGCAGAGAGAGAGAGAGGCAGCAGAGAGAGAGAGAGGCAGCAGAGAGAGAGGCAGCAGAGAGAGGCAGCAGAGAGAGGCAGCAGAGAGAGGCAGCAGAGAGAGGCAGCAGAGAGAGGCAGCAGAGAGAGGCAGCAGAGAGAGGCAGCAGAGAGAGGCAGCAGAGAGAGGCAGCAGAGAGAGGCAGCAGAGAGAGGCAGCAGAGAGAGGCAGCAGAGAGAGAGAGAGAGGAGAGGCGGCGAGAGAGAGAGAGAGGCGGCAGAGAGAGAGAGAGGCAGAGAGAGAGAGAGAGGCAGCAGAGAGAGAGAGAGGCAGCAGAGAGAGAGAGGCAGCAGGAGAGAGAGGCAGCAGAGAGAGGCAGCAGAGAGAGGCAGCAGAGAGAGGCAGCAGAGAGAGGCAGCAGAGAGAGGCAGCAGAGAGAGGCAGCAGAGAGAGGCAGCAGAGAGAGAGAGCAGCAGAGAGAGAGGCAGAGAGAGAGAGAGGCGGCAGAGAGAGAGAGAGGCGGCAGAGAGAGAGAGAGGCGGCAGAGAGAGAGAGAGGCGGCAGAGAGAGAGAGAGGCAGAGAGAGAGAGAGAGGCAGCAGAGAGAGAGAGAGGCAGCAGAGAGAGAGGCAGCAGAGAGAGAGAGAGGCAGCAGAGAGAGAGAGAGGCAGCAGAGAGAGAGAGAGGCAGCAGAGAGAGAGAGAGGCAGCAGAGAGGCAGAGAGGAGAGAGAGAGGCTGCAGGAGAGAGAGGCTGCAGGAGAGAGAGGCAGCAGAGAGAGAGAGAGCAGCAGAGAGAGAGAGAGAGAGAGCAGCAGAGAGAGGCAGCAGAGAGAGAGGCTGCAGGAGAGAGAGGCTGCAGGAGAGAGAGGCTGCAGGAGAGAGAGGCTGCAGGAGAGAGAGGCTGCAGCAGAGAGAGGCTGCAGCAGAGAGAGAGAGAGGCAGCAGAGAGAGAGAGAGGCAGCAGAGAGAGAGAGAGGCAGCAGAGAGAGAGAGAGGCAGCAGAGAGAGAGAGAGGCAGCAGAGAGAGAGAGAGGCAGCAGAGAGAGAGAGAGAGCAGCAGAGAGAGAGAGAGGCAGCAGAGAGAGAGGCAGCAGGAGAGAGAGGCAGCAGCAGAGAGAGAGAGGCAGCAGGAGAGAGAGGCTGCAGGAGAGAGAGGCTGCAGGAGAGAGAGGCTGCAGGAGAGAGAGGCTGCAGCAGAGAGAGAGAGAGGCAGAGAGAGAGAGAGAGAGGCAGCAGAGAGAGAGAGAGGCAGCAGAGAGAGAGAGGCAGCAGAGAGAGAGAGAGGCAGCAGAGAGAGAGAGAGAGAGAGAGAGAGAGAGAGGCAGCAGAGAGAGAGAGAGCAGAGAGAGAGAGAGGCAGCAGAGAGAGAGAGAGAGGCAGCAGAGAGAGAGAGAGGCGGCAGAGAGAGAGGCAGCATATAAGCGATGATACATTCTCATAGTATGACATCAAACCTATATATTTTGTGGACGCTAAACTAGGCTAACGTATCGACACCATCTTCGTTTTTCAATATTAACGATATTTCTGTCTGTTTGTTCCCAAAGGCACGGATGAGAACGCCATAATCGAGCTCCTTGGGAACAGAACCAACAAACAGCGAGTTCCGATGGTGGCTGCGTACAAAACCACTTATGGAAAGGTATTTGGAGCCTTCTATTGACTTCTATAGTTAGAGCTGGTTAGAGCTGTTTTTAACTTATATAATTTGGTTAATAACAGCTGGTCCTCATCAGAAGTGTCACTGAACTTAGACTAAGGCCTCATCTAAATTCTACATATTTGTGCTCCTCCTTAAAGCTCGGGGACTTGACTTTCAACTAACTTTCAAACTACAATAAAGTTAACTATATCATGGATGCTAAAAACAGTTTCTTTCTTTCTTTCTTTCTTTCTTCAAAAGAAAGTTGGAATCTGTGAGCTGTAAATGTGACACATATAGAACTCTGCAGCTTCAGGCATTTTGTCACAGATGAACGCTTAGGACCCGTCTCATGTTGGAGGTTCTGTGTGAAACTGCTGCAAAACCCACTGATAAGCCTGAAATGTTGTTGCTAACTTTGAATCCTGCTCTTGCTACAGAAACAAAACATTTGAACTTGACTTTTTCAGGATTTAATGCGTGACTTGAAATCGGAGCTGACGGGAAACCTCGAAAACCTGGTTCTGGCGATGCTGATGACTCCATCTCAGTTTGACGCGGCCGAACTCCGAGAAGCCATCAAGGTCTGTGCCAAGATGTAGACACTAGTTATACACGCAGGGAAAGTTCTACAGCTCTTTCTGGATACATGCACAATATATATTTTTGTAAAGCCCAAAATCACAACAGCAGTGTCGTTTTGCAGGACCAACAACAGAATCAAACGGTTCAAACACGGGAAATGCAATGATAACAAACTCATAGAAGCCATTGGTCCATAGCTGTAGATCCAGGGCCGAGGCTGTAGATCCAGGGCCGAGGCTGTAGATCCAGGGCCGAGGCTGTAGATGACGTCAGACTGATGATTCCGATAATACGCATTTTCCCTGATTATTGAAACCGATAATTTTTTACCCAAAATACATTGATTTGTCCCGGTTCGTGTCTCATGTCTCCTGCCTTGTCCTCTCTCTCGCTGGACCTTCCCCCCCCCTGCTCACAGCCCCAGACTTGCAAGGCTGACCCAAACCACAGAGAAAGAGTCTAGAAGAAAAATAACGTTGTACCTGACCGCTGGCTTCCTGTATAATTGTATTAACCTGTTTTAGGTTGATGACTAAAACAAAGAAACACAAATTGTATAAACCTATATAAGATTTTTTTCTCTGGTTTCTCTCTTGCTCTGGTCTCTCTTGCTCTGGTAACTCTCTCTCTGGTCTCGCTCTCTCTATCTTTACCTCTCTGGTCTCGCTCTCTCTATCTCTGGTCTCTCAGGTCTCTGGTTTCTCTCTCTGGTCTCTGTCTCTGGTTTCTCTCTCTGGTCTCTGTCTCTGGTCTCTCTCTCTCTGGTTTCTGTCTCTGGTTTCTTTCTCTGGTGTCTGGTTTCTTACTCTCCCTGGTCTACCTCTAATCTCTCTGGTCTGTCTTTCTGGTCTCTCTCCCTGTTTAACCCCATTTAGGTTAATAATAAAAAAAAAAAACTAAAAAAAAAACTTATTAAATCTATACATGAATTTGGTTAATAGGAACAATTCTCCATCTCACCAGGTTTTCTGTTGTGTCTAAACTTCAGATGCATTTCCAGCTCTTCACAGACACCAGTGGAAAGCGTTCACATCAACATAATTATAGTTTGTGGTTCGCGGTTTGTTCTAATCCTCGGTTTGACTCATTGCAAAAGGAAAAAACAGTGATGTCGCAATACGGCGTCCAAACAGAAGCTCCGAGCTGAAACTATAAAGATACATGTGTGTGTGTCCAGGGCGCTGGGACCGACGAGGCTTGTCTCATCGAAATCCTGTCGTCTCGATCCAACGCTGAGATTGATGAAATCAACAGGATCTACAAGTCTGGTCAGTCTTCAGGACGTCTGTGTGATAATCTGAAGAATGTGCAGATTATGTGGAGATTGTGTGCATAGTGGTCCCTCGCTATAACGTGGTTCCCCTTTCGCTGTTTCGTAGGTTGTTTAACCGTGTAGTTTTTCTCTTTTTTCAACATTATATAAAACATCATGTGACTGCTAGTATAACAGCAGTCACAGCAGTTCCGTCTCTGCTCTCTCTGTCTGTCTCTCTCTGTCTCTGGTCTCACTCTCTCTGGTCTCGCGCTCTCTGGTCTCTCTTGCTCTTCTGGTCTGTCTCTGGTCTCTCTCTCTCTCTCTGGTCTGTCTCTCTGGTTTGTCTCCCACTGGTCTCTCTCTCTCTCTCTCTGTCTCTGGTCTCTCTGTCACTGGTCTCGCTCTCTGGACTCTCCTCCTCTCTCTGGTTTGTCTCTCTATGGTTTGTCACTCACTGGTCGCTATCTCTGTTCTCTCTCTGTCTCTGGTCTCTCTGTCTGTCTCTCTTGGGATTCTCTCTCTCCCTGGTCTCGCTCTGTCTGGTCTCTCTCTGATCTCGGTCTGTCCCTCTTTGGTCTCTATCTCTCTCTGGTCTCTCTCCCTCCGTCTCTTTTCCTTGTTCCTACTCAAACACTGACCAACTGAAACCTTGAGCTATTTGCATCTACACATTCAAATGATCTGTTTTCCCCTTATCTCTCACTCTCTCTCACTCTCTCTCACCCTCAGAATACGGGAAGAAACTGGAGGACGCTATCATCAGCGACACGTCCGGTCACTTCCGCCGCCTGCTGGTGTCTCTTAGTCAGGTACCAACTTTTGAACAAGCGAAGAAAGTAAATGTATATTTCTGCATCTGCATGAGGCCTATCCAGGAAGTAGCACTGCGAGATATGATCAGCTATTATCTACACAGAACTTGGACTGAAATAAAAGCCTAGACAAAGAAATACAATTTTAGTGGCGTTCGTAAGTAGTAAGTGATCTGAAGCTGTAACAGAGGCCAAAGAATACATACAAATTTGTGAGAGACGGAAACTGTTTCAGCCCTGATCTGGGCTTTACAAGCGGGCCCAAGCCCAGTTGCCGCGGCCACATAGCACCTAAAGCTATGGGCTTTAGGGTGCGCATGTGACCGCAGCCAGAGACAGGAACTAGTGGTAGTAGTGTCACCTTTTTATTGTTTTTGTAATTTGAAAGTTAGGTACCCGAGCTTTAATGACCATTCCTGACTTCACAGGGAAACCGAGATGAGAGAGAGCAGGTCGACGTCTCTTTGGCCAAACAGGACGCTCAGGTAACTTCTATTCAAAACATGGATAATATGTTTTTGAACCGTGTACTTGTCTGTTTATATTCATTTATGTGAAATTATGTGTATCTCTTTCTCTCTCTCTCTCTCTTTTCTCTGTCTCTCTCTGGTCTTTGTTTCTCTCTCTTTCTCTGGTCTCTGTCTCTCTCTCTGGTCTCTCCTCTCTCCCTTTCATCTCCCCCCTCTCTCTCGCTCTGGTCTCGCTCTGGTCTCGCTCTGGTCTCGCTCTGGTCTCACTCTGGTCTCCTATTATATTGACCTCATCCAATGAATGTGTGTTCCATTGTATCAGAAACTGTACACCGCAGGAGAGAACAAAGTTGGAACCGACGAGTCTCAATTTAACGCCATCCTGTGCGCCCGGAGCAAGCCCCACCTCAGGGCAGGTACGGCTACACCAGCCTCTACACCAGCATCTGTCATACAGCCATGAGGTTGTACAGAGCAAAAGCTTATTCAATCCCTATTTACCCACATACTCTACTAGTTAGTTTTTTGGAGTTGGTAAAGCAAGCAAAAGTGCCATTAAAAAAAGAAAAAATATGCATTATTTTTGGGTCTTAGTTTCTTAAAGTGATTGTCTGGAGTTTGTCAGAAAAAAGACAGAAGGGTACATGATTTGAAAAAAAAAAACCAACAACCCAAGCTCCCTCCCCTTCCTTTCTGCCTACTTTTCTGTGCACGCGCCAGGTCAATGGTCCAAGACATGCGAGGAGAGATTATCAATTAAAATATTAAAATATATTAGAATATTGAATCATAATGTATTACACAGCTCCTCACAGCAGCAGTAGAACGCTTCATTGACTTGAATGTAATTTCAAAACGTTCTACCGATCATTATTATATCATTATATCAATGGACCTCTCAAACCAATAATGACCACTGCCCTTTGGCAACGCACTCTGTGCTTGTAATTCAGGTGTGTAAAATACGAGTACGCCGTCACAACGGGGCTTTCAGCGCCTGTCACGAACCACTACTGTCTGTGTGAGAAGCTAACGAAGCTACCCACGCTCAATAACACAAATATCAATCAATCAACAAATGTTAATCGGAGAATACATTATACATTATATACATTCTTAACACACGTGCACGGAGGTTTTCAGAATTAACTGTTAACGTTTTCATGAAAATACTGTTTTAATGCGACGAAATGTGATCGCGGGAAACCCGGAAGTAACTATTATCATTATTTGAATGTTTTAGGACACATTTGCAGAGGATCTGATTATGGATATAGGTTGAGTTTATATTTGGGTCACTCACCGCTGATGTACAGAATTCTTTGTTCACTTTTTATGTAGAGCTTAGTGGAGGCTTGATTCGGAGGCTCCGTGAAAACAAACAACTGAACATGCCCGCAGCTAAGAGCGCACATTGACAGCCCTTGGCATCACTTGATTGGTTAAAGTGGACGGCATCGTGGATTTTGAGCTATAGCTAAGAGAAGGGAAGGCCCGATTCCGTATATGATCTAGTGCTGACTAAGGCGGGACTTACCCGTAATATTAGAATTCATAAAATGACTTCTTTTATATCAACATTTAAGGCCAGGAAGTCAATTTGATACAATTCTTAACATTTGTAATTCATTTAGAGTTCCAGACTATCACTTTAAGTAGAAAATATATCGGCAGCTACAGCTACGCCTCTACCTCTTGTACATTTCTGGATCCCTTACATTTCTTTGACCTGTATGTGTGTGTGTCCCAGTGTTCCATGAGTACCAGCAGATGTGCGGCAGAGATATCGAGAAGAGCATCTGTAGAGAGATGTCTGGGAACGTGGAGGACGGCATGGTGTCTGTGGGTCAGTGTTTCTCTGCTCAGACCAGGAGACATCACTTTGGGACAGTTTAACATCTAAAATGAACAGCAGTAGCAGAATAATTAGTAGTAGTAGTAGCAGGACACTTCCAGGGCTAACCTTTTCTATGGAGATAGAACTAGTGACTTCTGAGCTAACTGAAAAAAATAGCTGCTGGGAATCTGAACACTGCTGAAAAGAAAGTTAATTTTTTTATTCTGTCTTCAGTGAAATGCATCAAGAACACTCCAGTATACTTCGCTGAGAGGCTGCACAAGGCCATGGCGGTAAGGAACTGGTACTTCTACATGCTTTGATCTAGAGCCTGCTGAGTCCTGGATCTAGAGCCTGCTGAGTCCTGGATCTAGAGCCTGCTGAGTCCTGGACCCAGAGCCTGCTGAGTCCTAGTCCTGGACCCAGAGCCTGCTGAGTCCTAGTCCTGGACCCAGAGCCTGCTGAGTCCTAGTCCTGGACCCAGAGCCTGCTGAGTCCTAGTCCTGGACATAATTTAACATTTCGGGACATTAATCATTATTTATTATTATGTACATATTTGCTGAATGAAAAGCGATGTGTGACGCTGTGTTTTCAGGGCGCTGGCACCAAGGATCGGACCCTGATCCGGATCATGGTCTCCCGCTCTGAGGTGGACATGCTGGACATCAGACAGGAGTATCTGAAGCACTACGGGAAGTCTCTCTTCACCCACATCTCTGTGAGTACACAAGTGTTATTACACATTTGCGAATCAAGAGGAGGTAGAAGTTCAGAAGCACCCACCTCCCCAATTATTGCTCTCAGGGTTCAATGTTTATGATGATACAAAGGATGTGGTTGTGTTCTTGATACAATAATCTTTGAAATGATGTATAACAGACTCTCTGTTGTTTGATGTTCATACCTTTTTGTGGGCCGCCTCCTTGAGACCATTGAATTACAAGAAGTTGTGTTGATAGAATTGTGTGTTTTCAGGGAGACGCATCCGGAGACTACAAGAAGCTGCTGCTGAAACTGTGTGGAGGAAACGACTAAAGAGGAAAAAAGTCTCACAGTAAAGAAATGACCACAGCGCCCCCTATCTCTCTATGCATGCAGTGTCAAAAATCTACATAGACCAATGCCAAATAGTGAATATATTTTATACTTTTAGATTTGTAATGGAGGATTGATCTGTCTCTATGAATGAGAGAATCTACTAACAGCTTGTCTGTGCTAAAGTTATATATTAGAAGAAGGAGAAATAATTAAATTCTACAAAATTGAAAGCAAACCAGCGATACAGTGGTCCCTCGTTCTAGAAATTACCCAAATCAGAGAGACCGGAGAGAGAGAGAGAGAGTCAAACCAAAGAGCGAGAGGGGGAGAAACAAACCAGAGAGACTGACCGACCAGAGAGCGAGAGAGAGACAGACCAGAGAGCAAGAGAGACAGACCAGAGAGCAAGAGAGACAGACCAGAGAGCAAGAGAGACAGACCAGAGAGCAAGAGAGACAGACCAGAGAGCAAGAGAGACAGACCAGAGAGCAAGAGAGACAGACCAGAGAGCAAGAGAGACAGACCAGAGAGCAAGAGAGACAGACCAGAGAGCAAGAGAGACAGACCAGAGAGCAAGAGAGACAGACCAGAGAGCAAGAGAGACAGACCAGAGAGCAAGAGAGACAGACCAGAGAGCAAGAGAGACTGACCGACCAGAGAGAGACTGACCGACCAGAGACCGACTGACCGACCAGAGACCGACTGACCGACCAGAGACCGACTGACCAGAGAGCGAGACAGAGACTGACCAGAGAGAGAGAGAGAGACTGACCAGAGAGAGAGAGAGAGAGAGACGAACCAAAGAGAGAGAGAGACTGACCGACCAGAGAAAGACTGACTGACCAGAGAGAGACTGACCAGAGAGCGAGAGGGAGACAGACCAGAGAGACCGACCGACCAGAAAGAGACCGACCGACTAGAGTGGGACCGGAGAGGGAGAGAGGGGGACTGGAGAGAGAGGGGGACTGACCGAGGTCCTCTGAAAGCTGAACCGTGTTAGAGCGAGGGGCCACTGCAGTTTTTTTACTGCTATTGGGCACTTTACTGTTTCTACTTTAATTTCAAATCAAAATGGTTTAGCTATTTCAGGTTTGAGGCAACACTCTTGGTTTTTTTTTTGTACTTTGCAGTGCACTCCTGTAACCATCTCAAGTTAACCTATGAAGTACTTTTTGTCACATGTTTTTGAATGTCGTCCTCAGACAGTAGTAAAGATGGAGGCAGACGAGGCTGGGGAAAAGTCACAACCCACATTCCTCTTTAGAGTCTGTAGCGTTTGGCAGCTTCCAAATTCATAGAAATACCTCTTTGGGTTTGACTCGTAATATTGTCAATGCATTTAAAACTTGCGGAAAATGTCTGCTCAGCGTTAAATACACACAAACACCACTTTTTCTCCAGCTTTGTGTGCCTCTTTTTACAGTCTGTGGTGTTGCCTTGTTGAAAAATCAGCACTGATAATCTACAAACCTGTATTTTCAATCAATATTTTAACTTGTGCATTTGCCTTTTCTGTGTTTAGGCTTTAATATGAAAGTAAACAAATTGTTCAGGATAATCACATCAATCTTTAGTTCCATTTTGAATTGAGCTGAAGTAAAAAAAAAAAATACATAATTTGCGTTTTTTGCGCAATGATATGTTATACTGCAGACAAAGCTTAAATCATATTGAAGTACATACAAAATACTGGCCTGGGTGTGTTTGGAGAGAGAAGTCTGGGTATTTCTGCTTAGACTGCTGCCTCCGTGACCCGGCAATGAATAAAGTAGAAGAAAATGGATATTTGGACAAAATGTGCTGCTGAGAAGGCCCCATTGAATGAATTTGCAAATTGTCAACAAAGATATGAGTAAATAATCCATATTCTGTATTTTTAGCCTCAGTTTTACATCTGCCTGCTTCAATATCTATGCAAAATGTGTTTCCAATGTTAGTCCAGTCTACATACATATATTATACGTATTTTGTGGCCTTGCACTGGTTCTAATGCTGCATATCCCATAGCTGTGCCTTTTGGAAATACAGTAAACAGTAAACAGCCAAAACTATCTATACAACTATACACTTATTTTCTAAAATGCTAAAATTCCTAAAACTCTTGTCCAGTCTAATATATTTCCACCGTTTTGCTTTGTTTACAATGCGCTGTAGTGTTGTAGTACTAGTGTCCCACCAGCAGAGGGCGCTTCTGCCTCCGCTGTACGTGTCGCCCTTATGAAGCTGTAGAACCAGATCTATATATAAAAGCTTTTAGTTTGCGAACATTTTTGGTAAAAGCTGAGAGACGTTTGAATAAATCATATTGTCTCAAGAGTGTCTTTGGGAGTTTTTTTTCTGCTTGCATGAGTTTTTAGATTTAGGCACACAAAAAAAGAACAAATGTACTTAGGCTTGTGTCAGTGGATTCCAAGATGTTTTTGACTTATCAGGGAAATATATCTGTTTATTTTAGTCTGAAATACTAATTGGTGCTTTCTAATCTTCTCGTTTGCATGTTTTTGTGTCAATTTAATTCAGTCCTATTGTAAAACTGCTTGGATCCTGAAAGTCCAGTTTTTATTCCGGGTTCTGTCTGTTTGATTTGACTGTGCAAATGTCTGGCTTTTCCTAAGTTATAGAGTTTGCCAGAGAGAGAGAGAGACCAGAGGGAGATGGAGATGGAGAGCGAGAGAGAGACCAGAGGTAGATGGAGAGAGAGGGAGAAAGAGACCAGAGGGAGAGGGAGAAAGAGACCAGAGGGAGATGGAGAGAGAGAGACCAGAGGGGGGGGGGGGGGAGATAGAGAGAGATCAGAGGGAGAGAGAGAGACCAGAGGGAGATGGAGAGAGAGAGAGACCAGAGGGAGATGGGGAGAGAGAGAGAGACCAGAGGAGATGGAGATGGAGAGAGACCAGAGGGAGATGGAGAGAGAGAGAGACCAGAGGGAGAGAGAGAGACCAGAGGGAGAGAGAGAGACCAGAGGGAGAGAGAGAGACCAGAGGGAGATGGAGAGAGAGAGACCAGAGGGAGATGGAGAGAGAGAGAGGGAGAAAGAGACCAGAGGGAGATAGAGAGAGACCAGAGGGAGATGGAGAGAGAGACCAGAGGGAGAGCGAGAGAGAGAACCAGAGAGCTCAGTCCCCCAGTCTTCTCCATACTCATTCACTGAGATTAGCCATGCTTCTAAGTTCATTCAGTCTCCCCAGGCCTGTGCTCCTCTCCATGCCCTTGCTCACAGACCCCCTCCTTACCCCCGCGGGTGTCCTCTGATAGACCGAGTGTCCAGCCTCCTACAGGATAATTTTAGACGCAGAAATAAAGTGTGTGTTCGAGGGGAGCGCTTGTTCTGTGCTTCTTTTAGTCCGGACGCAGAGGGACGGGAACCGAGGCCACGCAGGACCCCAGAAGGACAAGCCATATATATGCTACTCCTCTACCGTCGCATTGAAGACACAGAACAGAAGAAACTAGTGGAAAAGTAGAGACGAAAGGTGGATGTTTGGCTGTGAGCTTGGAACCGGATGCTTTAATGTTTTTTTCTGACTTTTTAAAAATATTTGTCCTTGTATTGGTTCAAGTTCATTGGTCAGCCATGCTTAAAGGTTATTCTAGCCATGATTCTTAGTTCATTCATTCACTGTGAGAGACCAGGGAGAGAGACCAGAGAGAGACCAGAGAGACCAGAGAGACCAGAGAGAGACCAGAGAGACCAGAGAGAGGGAGAGAGACCAGAGAGAGACCAGAGAGAGGGAGAGAGACCAGAGAGAGGGAGAGAGACCAGAGAGAAGGAGAGAGACCAGAGAGAGGGAGAGAGACCAGAGAGAGGGAGAGACCAGAGAGCGTGAGTGAGAGACCAGAGAGGAGGAGAGACCAAGCGAGGGGGAGAGACCAGCGAGGGGGAGAGACCAGAGAGCCGTAGAGAGATCAGAGAGAGGGAGCGGGACCAGCGATGGGGAGGGACCAGCGAGAGAGAACAGAGAAAGAGAGACCAGGAAGACCCCAGCAATGGAACCAAACTCGCCATGTTTGTAAGTTACTCTAGTCATGATTCTTAGTTCATTAATTCACCATGAGACCAGAGAGAGACAAGAGAGAGAGAGACCAGAGAGGGATAGATCAGAGAGGAACCAAAGATAGAAACAAAAAATGTGATTTGAGAATCAGGTCCCTCATCTTTAATCCAGCACTCCACACCTGTAGATTATTATTTGTATTTTTTAGATTCTGTACCATTCTTAAAGGACGTCTCATTGAAAATACATTGCTTTATGAATACTTGATGTTTCCGTATTTCCTCTGGGCTCCTATCTCAAATATATGGGTCAGGAGGAAATGAACAGAGTGGGATTTGGGGGAGGGGGGAACCCAAACAAGATCTTGATACCAGACAAAACACCTCAATTATTCACGTTTGTTCAGAGACGGTAAAACAGTGAGAGACCAGACCCTGGACTTGACACATGCAGTGGATGTAGAGTAGAGTATGTGTAAAGTCCAGGGTCTGGTCTCATACTGTTCTCCCTCTGGTATCTCACTCTCTCTGGTTTCTCTTTCTGATCTCTCTCTCTCTCGCTCTCACTCTCTGGTCTCACACTGTTCTCGCTCTCGCTCTCTGGTCTCACACTGTTCTCTCTCTCTCTCTCTTTGGTCTCACACTGTTCTCGCTCTCTCTGGTCTCATACTGTTCTCTCTCTGGTATCTCACTCTCTCTGGTTTCTCTTTCTGATCTCTCTCTCTCTCTCTCTTTGGTCTCACACTGTTCTCTCTCTCTCTGGTCTCATACTGTTCTCTCTCTGGTATCTCACTCTCTCTGGTTTCTCTTTCTGATCTCTCTCTCTCTCGCTCTCACTCTGGTCTCACACTGTTCTCGCTCTCGCTCTCTGGTCTCACACTGTTCTCTCTCTCTCGCTCTCTGGTCTCACACTGTTCTCTCTCTCGCTCTCTGGTCCCACACTGTTCTCTCTCTCTCTCTCTGGTCTCACACTGTTCTCTCTCTCTCTGGTCTCACACTGTTC